TCGCCAGAGATCACGCGTCCTTCAGCAGAATGTACTTGACTATCACTTGAATTAAGTATATTTTGGATAACGCCCATTTTCCAAACTGAACCTGGAACTTTTGGATCATCTATTAATACAACATCTCGAATTTTCATATTAAACCCCCAACTTTTGTGTGTCACATTTGTGTGCATTTCTCGTAAGTTTATCAAGTATTCATTTTTCCATATGTGCCAATAATGATCCAAAATCGCTTTTTGTGCAAATACTTCTGCTTATCATCGCTTTGATCAACAGTTAAAATGTTAGTAAAATTCACAGATTCTAAAGGTAATTTTCGTCCAAACACGAGATGATTTGGTGTTAGAGGCTCGTCGCCGGGTACTTTGTACAGATATTTCACAAATCTGAAGTCAAATTTAAAGGAGAATTCCTAACTTAAAAGTATTTAATTCAACAAAAGGAAATGCAGTTAATTTTAGAATGTTTTATTTAAATAGAACGCTTTTAACGTTAAAATTTTCACTGATTTTTTTAATGCTTGTAATAATTTGTTTAAAAGAAACTTATCAGTCGACAGTGGAAAAAAATCAATAAAATAAAATTCAAAGTAAAAGTCAATATTTTGAACAACTGTATTTAAACTTAAGAAGTTTCGCAAAAGGGTATCACAATTCTTGTCTAATTTAACTTTAATACAATTTAATTTAATTTTCCTAAACATAAGATCTCTTAACTTAAATTTTTTAAACCTTAAATCACTTAACATAAACTATAATCACAAATAATGAAATAACAAATGACGAAATCACTTAGCTGGTATTACTTGATCTTTAAAACGAGTGTTTTCTCCAATAAGAACGTTGACAAATTTCACCTAAATAATAAATATAATAGCCTATAGTAATCTTACCATAAATCTCAAAAAACAATCAACTATCACATTAAGTTGAATAAAAATAAAAACGACTTAGCTCGTTAAATCTTCTAATATCTTTTAAATCGTGGGCTCCATAAAGAATTTTGGAAGGGACTCTAGCATTAATTCACATAGATAAGATTACTTTAATATATATTTCTTGAAGATATGTCTCTTGAAGATATGAAGATAAGATTACTTTAATATATATTTCTTGAAGATATATCTGTTTAATATATATTTCTTGAAGATATGTCTCGTTATTTACAATTACAAACTTGGGTCACATCAAGTGCTCAGCTTGTGGTGAAGAAGGAAGCATAAGAGAGTGAGACTTGCTACACGTTCAGTTAAATATACAAAGTAAAGAAGAATACTGGCTGCTGCGTTAGCCAACTAACGCAACACAACTTACGTGAATTTTTTTATCTTATTTATAAACTCAATAATCAACTTAATTGTTAACAAAATGATTGGAACTGAAATAAATCTGATTTCTGAAATAAAACTGATTTAAATCTATTTAAACAGATTTTAGAGGTTTAAAATAATATACGTTTGGTGGTAAAATGTTATTTTAACCATAAATTTATTTACATAATCAAAATTAATTCTTTTTTATTGGCAGTTTTATTTTTTTGTGTGTGTAATTTAAGAGATTTAAAATATGCAAAGTAACTAATCCAATAAGTAACTAAAATAATAATGAAACACTATTTTAAAAGTTACAATGCTAAAGTTTGTTTACCGCATTTTCTTTTGTTGATTAGAACAAAATATGAGTAAAATAAAAACAAAAAGGTTTTATCACTTAAACATATTTTTTTTTTTATTTAATTAAATTTTAGAATATCTATACAGTGCAACCTCAAAATTATGAATTACCTCAACGTAACTCTTAACCTCTGCGATCAGTCATATCAACCATACTGCAAACCTGATAATACTATAAACTACATACATGCTCAATCTAACCACCCTCCTAATATACTAAAAGAACTACCGCAAAATGTTGAACTCAGATTGTTCGGAAATTCTAGGAGCGAAGAGGTATAAACATAACTTATTCTACCGACCTAACTTGAAACAACAACAAAAGAAAAACCGTACGCGTAAAATAATCTGGTACAACCCACCCTATAGCATAAATGTCACCACAAATATAGGAAAAAGCTTTTTAAACTTGGTTGTCAAACATTTTCCAATTAACAACAGACTACACAAAATTTTCAACAAAAACACAGTAAAAATCAGCTACAGTTGCATGCCAAACATAAAATCAATAATAAATTTACACAACAAGCACATCCTAAACAAAAATCTAACCATTAATAAAGATAACTGCAACTACCTTTATAAAAACAATTGTCCTTTACACAATAACTGCTTGACCAACAACATTGTATACCAAGCAACCATCACTTCGGATAACCCCTCAATAAAGAAATCATACATTGGTATTTGTGAAACATCTTTTAAACTGAGATATGCTAACCATTTGAAATCGTTTAATATCCACAAGTATAGAAACAATACAGAGCTGTCAAAGGAGGTTTGGAACTTAAAAGATAATGTTAAAAATCCTGTGATCAATTAGAAAATAATTAGAGGATGTAAAGCGTATAACCTGACAACAAAATTGTGCAAATTATGCCTTAATGAAAAATATGAAATTATTTCAAATAATGACAATAGTTTATTAAATAAAAAGACTGAAATTATATCAAAATGTCAGCATAGAAATAAATTCCTTTTTTGTCAATTTGACACAGGCTAAAAGTAGACTTCGTGTAGTTGATGTTTTGACGTCAGATCCCATTCCATTGCTTAATTTGCATTTTAAACGGTTTTTTAATTTCTTGATTTAAAAAAATATATATGGCTGATGATTGCCGTCAGGCATGAAACTCTGAGTACCAGCAAAAAGTTGTATTTTTTTCATTTTAATACTAAATAATTATATTAGATCTGTTATAAAAATCTTTGTTTTTATAATATTGATCACTTTTAAACGAACAAGAGTTTTTTTGTACATTATTATACAAAAAACATTATACAAAATATACAATTATATATATATATATATATATATATATATATATATATATATATATATATATATATATATATATATATATTTTTTTATCTTTGCTTCCAACAAGGCTGCATTCAACCACTAACAAATTATATGAATCAGGTAAGCAAGATGAAGGAAGTGAATTCCAAAGAACTGATGTTCGAGGAAAAAAACTAGATGAATAAGAGATTTTGGAGCACTTAGGAACAGTAACAGAAAAAGGATGAGACTTAATTGAATGGCAAGTAACACAAGAATTAGTTTTAGTAGATGGCACAAGAGATGCTAGCTTTTTAGAGCAGTGCCCATTATAGTATTTGTAGAAAAGAGAAAGAGAAGCAACATTACGACGATGTGACAAAGGTTGAAGGTTTGCTGCAAGAGCAGGTCCAACTATGTTTACAATGCGTTTTTGCACCTTGTCTAAAAGACAAAGGGCATCATTAGAAGATCTGCCCCAGATATGGCAACAGTATTCCATACAAGGCCGGATTTGAGATTTATAGAGATAGAGAATAGAATTCAGAGTTAGAAAGTGTCGAGCTTGATAAAGAGATGCAACTTTAGCAGATGCTAATTTTGCAACGGATTTGATATAAGGTTTCCAAGAAAAATCAGAAGTAAGAGTTAATCCTAGAAGATGAAGGGTAGATGACTCATCGAGTACATTACCGTTCATAAATATAGGAAGGTCTAAATTATTGCAATAATGATTGGCTGAAAAAAATTGAGTTTTATCTGAATTAAAGTTCACCAACCACTGTGAGCCCCATGCTGTAGCAGAAGTGACATCCTTTTCAAGTTCAAATGCCCCCTGCAAGCAATCAGAGGGAGTTTGCTTCTTATCGTGACAAGAATAAATGGTAGTATACACCATAAGAAGAAAGCTTATGGAGAAGACTATCATGCCAAACTTTATCAAATGCTTTAGAAATATCAAAAACGATAGCCTTAACCTCTCCACCTTTATCTAATGCGGGATAAAACCTATAGGGTATTACTGTTAGCAAATCAGCAAATATATATATATATATATATATATATATATATATATATATATATATATATATATATATATATATATATATATACTATTTATTTATTATATATATATATATATATATATATATATATATATATATATATATATATATATATATATATATATATGTATATATATATACATATATATATATATATATATATATATATATATATATATATATATATATATATATATATATATATATATATATATATATATATATATATATATATATATATATATATATATATATATATATTTCTTGAATGTCATAATAGCAACAAGTAATTAAATTTAAAATTATTTTTTATTATTGACATATTTTATATAACTTTTACATTTTCAAGTGATTTAATTTTACAATAAAACTATGGAATAAATATTAAAAATAAAAAACTTAGAGAAATATTACCGGAAAAAAAATGTACATAATACACCAATAAAAATAATCAGGTGCGTGCTGGCACCAAAAAGCCTAAGCGTGTTTTTCTAAAAAGGTCTATTTTAATAGAATTTTACCATATATGTACATATATATTTTCAAAAATATTTTTAATCAACTTGGCTATTGTTTTTAAGTATCAATGTAAACAAGTAAATGATGGTTTTAGTAAAATTTTATTGTACAAGCTGTAAAGTAGTAAGGTAATAAAGTCTGGTCTAAACTAGGTTTTCAAAAAGATAACAGTAAAAACAATGTACCGGAAAACATATATGACACAAATAAGTAGTGCGTTCTTTTTAACTATTTTTTCAATTTTGATTGATCAAGTTTTTTAATTTGTTTTGATGACACAGTTTAATTAATCAATTGTCACATCCAAAGCTATTTGTAAAACTTGTGTAAATCTTTTTAAAGTAAAAAAGTGTACAGGTTTGAAGTCGCTTCTACCAAAAGTTTTGTTTGCATAACTAATTTTAAGTTGGTTATTAAATATAATTTTTTAGTTTTTTTTAGAAACTTCTTATTATTTCAGGGTTATCTAAAGTTGAATATAACGGTTTTATTAGATAGGGAAACAGCAAAGGTATTTTGTACTATTTTTAATAAAGTTTTCAATTGGTTATTATTTATATTTTAAATTTTTATGTTAGTTTGAAATTTTATTTTATGAATTAAAATGATAGTAAAACTGTTTTAATAGTTTTGTTATATTTTCTTTTCTTAATTATTCACCTTCCCAAGGCCGAGGGGGCCACTATAGTCGAGGAGGCTACTCATTTTTTTTTTTTTTTTTTTTGTAAATCGTGGTACAACCCTCTCTCAGCTCTTTAACTCTGAAACACGAACCTTGACAAGCAAGGCTGCTGCGCGTAGAAATTAAGTTGAGCGCGGTACTTTCAGGGACATGGTGGGAGTCGAACTCTGAACCTCTCGCTTACAAAGCGAGCGCTCTTACCACTACACCGCTACCGCTATATCAAATAAGAATAAGTACTAGTCAAATGCATTCAAAAAATTTTTCCTTACAAAATTAGGGTTTTTTTACCTACTTTAACCCAAAAAATTAGGGGTTTTATATAGAGTTTTTATTTCTAGGTAAGCTGCTTACACCACATCTATAGAGCCTCACCTGCATCATGATTAATCAAAATTTAGTCATACAAAAATTTGGTCATATAAGTTTAAGAAAACTTATTTAAGAAAACCAATTATTATCTCATTTGAATAAAAAAAATATTTGAAAACTGAAAACTTCTTTTTTTTCTTTATTATTAAACCAAACAAACTGTAATAAATCTTTTATTTTGATCTTATTTTTATCAGGGAAAACATATTAAAATTTAATTGGTACTAATTAACTCTCAAACTTTTTTTTTATAGAACATGAAATTAATCATTATATTTTTAAGTTTTTAAAAATAAAATTAAAAAACTCCTGAACTCCACTTTAAAATCCCTTCTAATTTTTTTAAAATTTTCTAAATAAAGGCTATACCTATATTTTCTGAATAAATTATGGGCACTAGAATTATAGTTATAAAGATATCTTATATGCCAACTTTGATGTTAAAGTTATCACTTGCTAAACTGTGTAGTAATTAGAGTTTTTACAAACTATAGAGTATTTACAGTCTTATTACAATTTATTGATTGATTTAAATAACTATTACTTTATAATTTGTCTCAAATAATTTTATATCAAACACTTTAATTTTGGTTGAATTTCAAGCTTTGTTGTTATGATAACTACTTTATGGTTGTTTAGTTATCAGATTGTTAAATTATTGCATTATTGTTTAATAAACAGTCATATAAATGCAAAAAAAAATATTTTGTTTTACTGATAATTTTGTAAAAAATATAAAAATCATTAGTTTCATCCTGGACAAAAATAATCTTTGCCCAATAACACCAAAGTTTGGCTGTTTTAGTTCAAGGTTAAATCATGGGTTGTTACCATGGTTTCTAATATCAAAAGTGATAACAAATCACATTTACAAGTTTAATTATCTTCTGACAGGTGTGAAACTAAGAATTAAACAAGCTTTATTTTGTGCTAAAACTGCCTACAAAAAAGTTTGAAACTGATGTTTCAGTTGTAATTGTTAATGTTTCAGCTGTATTTACTGATGTTTCAACTGTAATTACTGATGTCTCAACTGTAATTACTGATGTTTCAGCTGAAATTACTAATGGTTTAGCTGTAATTACTGATATTTCAGCTGTAATTACTGATATTTCAGCTGTAATTACTGATATTTCAGCTGTTATTACTGATGTTTCAGCTGTATTACTGATGTTTTGACCTATTTAATATTTTCAGAGTCATTTGACTAGTCTACAATAATAATTGAGAAGCCAAAAATATAAAACAACTCAATTTTATCATTGTTTATGTAAATTCTTATTTCCATTTTTTTTTTATCTTTTTACTTTTTAAATTCTTACTTTGTATTTTTTTGCCTTTTTTCTTTTTAAACTCCATTTTTTTATTTTATATGTTATTTTTTATTATTTTGTTTACTTTTTCTCTTTGTCAGGAGCTTCCAAGTATATCGGATAACGATAATGACATTGATGCGTAAGAAAAACATTTTAAAACTTAGTTTTTAAAATTTAAACAATATATATATATATATATATATATATATATATATATATATATATATATATATATATATATATATATATATATATATATATATATATATATATATATATATATACATATATATATATATATATATATATATATATATATATATATATATAAATATATATATATATATATATATATACATCATTTAAATAAATTTAAACGATGTATATATATATGTATATATATATTTATATATATATATATATATATATATATATATATATATATATGTATGTATGTATGTATATATGTATGTATATGTATATATGTATGTATGTATATATGTATGTATATGTATATATGTGTGTATGTATGTATATATATATATATATATATTTATATGTATGTATATATATATATATATATATATATATATATATATATATATATATATATATATATATATATATATATATATATATATATATGTATGTATGTATGTATGTGTGTATATATATATATATATATATATATATATATATATATATATATATATATACATATATATTTTTGTAATTTATATACTCAAAAGTAATTTTTTTTAATGAGTATTTTTTGACAAAAAAAGAAGCATTTATCAAATTGGTGATAAGTTTCACTATTTAAAAATTTCTACAAATATTAATTGATAATATTATAAATTAATATATTACAAATATTAATATAATTCTAGATCTATATTTGGTGTTTTTTTCTTTAGCTTTTTATGCATTTTTCAGCCTTTTTCTGCAATCTTTTATTAGGTTTCAGTGGCGAATAAGTCCTTTTATTAAATACACTTTATTTTTAATAATTTCTTTAGATGTTTTTTTCTTAGAAACGCCCAAACATTTTCTATAGGATTTAGGTCATTTTATAGTTTCCTGCCCAATCAAGTAATGGAATATAGTTTCCTATCTATCAGAATATTCCATTATTTGATTTAGCAGGAAACTATCTTTCTAATGGAAGATAGTTTCCTGCCCTATCAAGTAATGGAATATTCTGTTCTGATATTCCCGTCCTGCATGAAGGTCTTGGCGTTGTGAAATGTAACCAAGATGGTGAAGGCAGAAATGAACTGTTCTTTTTGACATTTTGACTCATTTTGACATTCTAGAACAATCTTATTTGGTATTTTTTCCCCCTCATGGTGTTGGCATTCTCTGCTTTCAACATTTACCAACCTTCTTTGGTGTCAAGCTCTACATATTAGCCATTTTTGAGTGTTTATTTTGTACAGAAACCCCACAAGTTACCTCATTTTCTAGCACTTTTTTGTTGAGAAAAATTTGTATATATTAAAATTGCCATAATATTGGCAATTTTTGTGGTAATAAATCCTTTTTTTTCCCCATTACTAAAATAAATTGCATATCATATTTCAGTACCACAGTTAAGAATTTGCTAAGGAACTCATAACTTTAAAAATTTCACATCAACAATTATTTTTATTTGAAAAGAGAAATGTTTAAAAAACAATACTGAAATTTGACGTATACAGTTATACTATATATGTGTAATAGCACCCAATAAATTGTAGACAGGTTAAATCAGGGATTATCTTCCAGGTATATATATTTCAACTTTTTCTGGATATCCAAAGCATTTTCCATACATACAAGTTTAGGTACACATTTTTGTAATATATTTATTTTTTAAGCTTTTTCACTCATCACACAAAAAAAATTTGATAAACTTTAAAAAAAAATTAAAAACAACTCAGCTAAAAGCAAAATTAATTAAAAAAGAGAAATTAAGGGCAAACATATTATGAATTTTTCCGGATAAAACCAAATTATAATTAAAAAAAAATAAACAATTTTCCCAATTTTTAAAATATGACCTAGATGATCTATGTAAATAAAATTGAGTTTTTATAATAGTTCAGCATTTACTTCACTAAATTTAACATATTATATACCAGTTTAAAGATTTTCATTTTTACTGTTATGTTTTGAACGAATATTGATTACTTAATTAACATACTCTAATTGATTTAAAAATGACTGATTTTTAATGAGCTCAAAAATTTGAAGCTTTTCACATTATATATACATACTGATACTTTTTAAATTTTTTTGAAAAAATTGCTCATTTATTGATATTGTAAACATATAATACTTTGTGTAAATAATTAAAAAGCTTCAATTTTAAATTATTGTTGTGGTGTATGAGAAATACATAATATCTCTAGTGAAAAAGTTGATAGCAATATAAGAAATGGAAATTCGTTTTGTATGACAGCATAGTTTTATGGAACCAGAAAGTCTGCTGATAGACTAATTATTTAAGGGATATGAATTTACTAGATTCACAAAGATTTGAAAGCAATTAGGGCAACCAGGCAAAACAACATGTTGTCAGAATAAAAAGAACAAAAATCCCATTTGACAACTTTTGATTTAAATGAACAAATGAAACACTTTTATGGAATGTATTATAGTATTTCTACAACAAAACTGAGACTTTGAATGATGAGTAACACGAGAATGAATTTTAGTAGATGGCACAAAAGACGCTAGCTGCAGTGCCCATTATAGGGTTTTTAGTAGATGGCACAAAAGACGCTAGTGCAGTGCCCATTATAGGGTTTATAGAAAAGAGAAAGGTAAGCAACATTATAACAATGTGAGAATGGTTGAAAGTTTGCTGCATGAGCAGGTCCAACTATGTTTGCAATACATTTTTTGAAAGAGCATCATTTGAATATCTACTCCAGATATGGCAACAGTATTCCATAGAAGAACAGATTTGAGATTTATAGAGATATAGAATAGAATCTGGAGTAAGAAAGTGGCAAACATGATAAAGAGATGCAATCTTAGCAGATGCTAATTTTGATATATATTTTCTAAGATTGGAAGTAAGTTTTAATCTTAGAAGATGAAGGGTAGATGACTCATTAAATTCATTACCGTTCATAATATAGGAAAATCTAGTTGATTGCAATAACAATTACCTGAAAAAAAGTTAGTTTTATCTGAGTTAAAGTTCACAAACCACTGAGAGCCCCATACTGTAGTAGAAGTAAGATCTTTTTCAAGCTCAAATGCCCCCTCAAAACAATCAAAGAGTGTTGGCTTCTTATTAAGGTAAAAATAAATAGTAGTATCATCAGCCACCTTGTGAGAATTTCTGGAGATTTATAATATAAATTTAAAAAAATATGGGGCCAATGATGGAACCTTGACAAACCTCTGAAGTTTAGATACAAATGCTAGAGAGATACGAATGTCAAGCAATGGATCAACTTGTTTGTTGGCTATATCACTTAGGATGTGATTAGTGGAATCAAGAAATGAGATTGGTCAAAAGTTCTTAGCAAAAAATCAGCTTTGTCTTTAGGTGAGTTAATAAAATCTGAACCATGCAAAAGAGGAGGAATAGCAGATTTGAATTTTATATTGGCACTGTTATAGATTCTTCAAAAGTCTCTGGAGCCTAATTTAATTTTATATTATAATATGCAGTTATTATCATAGTTAGGTGTATAGCATATATAAAAAAAAATATATAATATAAGATAAGAATTTAGGAAAATGACACGAAAATTGATAAAATTGATTGAAGGTTATTATCTACCATTTAAGATATTTAGTCAATTACTGACTAATGAAGAGGTTTTATGCTTCTAATTTTACAAGGTTTTTTAAACTAAAAATAAAGGTTTAAAACTAAAATACACAAAAAAATAGGTATCATCTGATATCACCAATAAAAAGTAAAATACTGAAGTAAAAAGAAAATAGCAAAAATAGGTGGAGAAAAATAAAAGCAGTTAAAAAAAAAAGAGAAATAAATAAGAAAATATTTACAGTATAATTTATTAAATAAGAAAAAAGAGTGAAAACAGAAGCACAGAAAATAGAAGCAATTTAAAATTAGAAATCAAAAATAGAATATTAAAAAATTTAAAGTATTGGCAGCATTTGATAATGAAGACAATGTTTTGATAAAAGCAAAGAAAGTACTATTGCTAGACAAAAGTAAAAAAAAACAGCAACAAGATGTTGCTGTTGTTGATGTAATCTTACTTGGCATCTAACAAGGAGATTTCTCACTATTTTCTAGTAAAGTAAACTAAAAATGCTTTTTTCATAGATTTATTTGTGCTCTAAATAATGCTTTTTTTTTAGAAGTAATTGCTTTCAAGAATGGTTATTTTTCTGACATAATTTTTATATATAAAAACAGCACAAAATTTGAATTACTTATTTTTATGACACACACACAAAAAAAATTGTATATCATACTTGGTATATTACACACACACACACACACACACACACACACACACACACACACACACACACACACACACACACACACACACACACACACACACACACACGCACACGCACACGCACACGCATACACACACACACACTCACACACATGTGTATGTATGTGTGTGTTCGTGTGTGTGTGTGTACACTCGAACACACACACATACACACACACAAACACGCATATATAGATTGATATATATGGTAGGTAGATAAATAAATATGTATATATTTCATTTTGTTTAGCAACCCGTTAATACCAGAAGGCTGGAAAGTAGAGCGAAAATTATCCAGTTTATGTGTCAGAGTTTTTAAAGCTGAGCACATTCCTTCAAGTATGTTTTTTAAATCACAAAAGTTCTAACTAATTGAAAATTGTGATACATAGTTGTAATACCTTTATATAGTTCTAATACGCATATACAAAAATGACAAAAACTCACTTTTTAAGCTCAATTTTTTGCATATTTTTAAATGCTATAATGAAAAACAAATAATGACACACATCAGAATCATTTTATTTGATAATTTAATTTTTAAAAATTTCTTCAAAAGTTAATACAATATGTTTGATTATTGTTAATATTTCTTTAAGTACTTTTTTGATATTAGCACATAAATTCTTGAACTTTCTTATAATAATAATGCAGAAGATTAATTAGTTTAATGAAGATTAATTAGATTAAAGATTTTATAGTTATTAAAATAATCAATCTAACATTCTTAACACCAAGCATAACTTTGTAAGTGTTTATAACTTTGTAAGTTATAAACACTTCGTGTTTATAACTTACAAACCTAACATTCTTAACTTGGTGTTAAGAATGTTAGGTTTATTATTAAAAATTATAAACACTTTTTGTATAAATTTATATACTAAATACTTTTTGTATAAATTTATATAATTTTTCCCCTGCAAATTCTTTAATGATAATGTTGAAATCAATGCTTTTTAAGAAATCATTTTCTATGCACATTAGAGAAAGTTGATTCAAAAGGTCTGCCCAACTGTGTGACACTTATTATTAGTTTAAGTTTAGAAATCATTAGAAATCAATCAATCAATAGAAACAAGCACTAGCTTTTAAATATGTACCTAAATACTTTTTAAAAATATGCTACACAATCTTGTTCAATGTAACTCAATAAAATGTGTTTCTGTTTCTCAATAAATAGTGCTTCTGTTTCTCAATAAAATATCAATTTGTTAATCTTCTGAATTTGTATTAATCCAAATAGTTAAATTTAAATTTGTTCATTTCAGCATTATGAGTAATCATAAAATTTAATTACTTTCTTTTTCAGCTAAAACACTGCTATACTAAGTTCATGGTTAAAATAGATTATTTTATTTTGTTTTTCATATTATTTTTTACAACAAATATAATTTTGTATAGTAAATATTTTTATTTTTAAATATAGTTTTATATTTTTCTCCTAGTAAGACATTTTTTACTTAAAAATTTTTACTTTAATTTTTTTTTTTTTTTTTTTTTTTTTAACATCTTTACTTCCAACAAGGCTGCAAGCAACCACTATAAGAGTTGGAAGTTACTGGAAGAGAAAAGACTAAATCTGTAGAGCAAGATAACGATTGACTGATGACTTAAAAGATTGCAAATTATATGAATCAGGAAAGCAAGATGAAGGAAGCGAATTCCAAAGAACTGATGTTCGAGGAAAAAAACTAGAAGAATAAGAGTTTTTGAAGCACTTAGGAACAGTCACAGAAAAAGGATGAGACTTAATTGAATGGCGAGTAACACAAGAATGAATTTTAGTAGATGGCATAAGGGACGCTAGCTCTTTAGAGCAGTGCCCATTATAGTATTTGTAGAAAAGAGAAAGAGAAGCAACATTACGACGATGTGACAAAGGTTGGAGATTGGCTGCCAGAGCAGGTCCAACTATGTTTACAATTCGTTTTTGCACCTTGTCTAAAAGAGAAAGAGCATCATTAGAAGATCCGCCCCAGATGTGGCAACAGTTTTCCATACAGGGACGGATTTGAGATTTATAGAGATAGAGAATAGAATCTGGAGTAAGAAAGTGTCGAGCTCGATAAAGAGATGCAACCTTAGCAGATGCTAATTTTGCAATGGATTTGATATACGGTTTAAAAGAAAGATCAGAAGTAAGAGTTAATCCTAGAAGATGAATGGTAGATGACTCATCTAGTACATTACCATTCATAAATATAGGAAGATCTAAATTATTACGATAACGATTGGACGAATAAAATTGAGTTTTATCTGAATTAAAGTTCACCAGCCACTGTGAGCCCCATGCTGTAGCAGAAGTGAGATCCTTTTCAAGCTCAGATACCCCCTCCAAGCAATCAGAGAGTGTAGGCTTCTTATCATGACAAGAGTAAATGGTAGTGTCGTCAGCGAATAATGCCACCTTAGATGTGAGAATATCTGGAAGATCGTTAATGTAAATTAAAAAGAGTATAGGGCCAAGGATTGAACCTTGAGGAACCCCTGAAGTTACAGGATGTGAAGAAGAGTGTTGTCCATTGAGGACAACTTATATACTACGATTGGAAAAAAAGGACTTAATAATCTTAAAGACGTTACCAGCTACACCATAAGAAGAAAGCTTATGGAGAAGACCAGCATGCCAAACTTTATCAAAAGCTTTAGAAATGTCAAGTGCGATAGCTTTAACCTCTCCACCTCTATCTAATGCACGGTAAAACCTATCGGTTATTACTGTTAGCACATCAGCTGTAGAACGAGAAGACCGAAATCCATATTGATGATCAGAAAGTAAGTTATTTGATTCAAGATGAGAGATCAAGTGTTTGTTGATTAAAGATTCAAAAACCTTGCTTATGACAGGAAGAAGACTAATGGGACGGTAGTTAGATGAATCAGATCGCTCTCCGGAATTTTTGAAAATAGGGATAACAGATGCTGCTTTCCAGCATGATGGAAAACAAGACTCTGATAAGCACTTGTTAAATAGTTTAGAAAGTATGGATGAAAGCTCCGGAGAACACCTCTGCAAGACTACAACAGGAATGTTGTCAGGACCACAAGCTGTTGAAGAGTCTAAGCAGGAAATTACTTTAGATACAGAAGCTGAAGTGATGCGAATGTCAAGCAAGGGATCAACCTGTTTGACGGCTATGTCAGGTAAAACGCAACTAGTGGAATCAAGAGATGATATTGATGAAAAGTTCTTAGCAAACAATTCAGCTTTGTCTTTAGGTGAGGTGACAAAGTCTGAACCATACAAGAGAGAAGGAATAACAGATTTGCCCTTATTATTGATACTGTTAAAGATTCTCCAGAAGTCGCGAGAGCCTAATTTTTGTGATGAGATACGAGATTTAATGACCTGGGAATAGCGAGCTTTGGCGTCAGACAAAACCTTTTTACAATGGTTTTTGGCGATAGTGAACAGATGTCTGTTTTCTGGAGAATTGTTTTGCTGATAGATATGGAAGTAACGGTTTCGATTAGAAATTGCTGCAGCGCAATGTGAGGAAAACCATGGAGAAGAGTGAGGTTTGACCTGGAATCGTCGAGAGGGAATAAAGGATTCCATGCCAGCCTGAATCCACGAAGTTATGTAAGAAGCACATTTGTCAGCAGGAAGACGAAAGATTTCTACCCAAGGGCCATCACGAAGAAAATCACGGAAAGAGTCCCAGTCAGCTTTAAGGTAGTTGTATGTGGTACGATGATAGGGGATTCTGATGAAGTAGAAGAATTTGATAATAGTTTTAGAGAGATCAAACCGTGATCAGAAGTACCTAAGGGTGAATGTGGAGAAATTGAGCACTGACTAGGATCCAAAACAAGACATAAGTCGAGTAGAGAAGGTAAATGATTAGGGTTGTCTGGAAAACGAGTTGGAAAGTTGACTATTTGAGTTAGAGATTGAGAAAGGCAAAAGTTGAGGGCCTTAACGCCAGCAGAGTCACTGACACTAGAGCCAAGCCAATCGGTGTGATGGGCATTAAAGTCACCAACAACGACGATATTGGCCGATGGATAAAGAGAGAGGGCTTGGTCAATTTGATCAGAAATAACATCAAGAATAGTGCAATCTTGGGATGAAGGAGAGCAATATAGAACAAAGAGAAAGGCGATAGAGTGAAGTTGTGCTAAACGAAAGCACATAAATGAGTAGTCTGTAGATTCAAACCTAGTTTCACGACAAATGGGTGAGTTCTTACGAATGTAGATGCCCAGGCCAAGCATGTGATTATTGGAGTCTTTACGAATTAAAGGAAGATAACCATCAACACTAATCACAAGATGGGACAGCCGAACTCAAATTAGTCTCACAAAGAGCAAGTAGGTCTGGTGAACTTTGCAAGAGATAAGACTCAACAGAAGAAAAGTTACTTCGAAGACCACGAATATTAGTAAATGATAGGTTTAGAGAACTTGGTGATGACGATGGTTTTTTGTGTTTTTTAGTTTTAGGTACTTTAGTCATTTTAAATTTATAAAGAACTTGACTCAAGTATAGATAGTACTCAGTACACTATTTAACAACTAAGCAATAGCCTCATTACTATTAATAAACCCTAAGCCGTAACAAAGGGCTCCAAATGTGGCCTCTGCAATGCACATCAAAAGTACAAACAGGGACACCATCCATGCGCAACATGGCACTGTTAGTACTCTGATATTTTTCGGCTGTTGATGGAATCAGCCTCTCTGAGAGCTACCACAGAGTTCGGGAAACCTGACTACCAGCCGGCCTCAGAACCATAAAACTGAGTTTTAGAGCTGTACCCTCATTAGGAGATAATAGAATGAGTTGCCCAGTCATAAAAATAGAGACACAAGCAATACCCACGCATTGAGTCAAGAAGATCCAGCGTTCAACATCCTAAACTGGAAACAATGTATTAAAAATACATCTGCGCCAGCCTAATAGATGAGGAAGGGGTGCGAGGCTGGTCAACAGATAGAATCTGTTTACCCCTTAAGTCTTTGCCTAGGAGGCCTTCTACAAGACAGCAGCTGGATGCATGTAACATCTGCCCAAGATGAGTATTTTTATCGAGACACCATCTCTAGCCTTTACTCAACCAAGAGCCCCAAGGCAGGGGGTGTTTTAATTCGGAGTTAACTTCTCCTAGCCTTTGCCTAAAAGAGCGTATCCTACAAGGCAGCAGGACATGGAGCAGGTTGTACTGGGTTACATGTTACCAGTAGCAGGAAAACCTGACCTGACCTTTTGAAACAATTTGAAACAATTCTTCTTAGAAAGATAAACAAATGAAACAATGAAATCATTGAATTACTTAAGAAACTAAATTTACCAGATAGAAATCAACTAAAAAAGCCAAAAACACTTTTATGACGAGGAAGCGAAACCGCTTCACAATATCGCTGATGTCAAGCGAGTGGGCCTTTTAATTTTAATTAGCACTTAAAGCCGAAAAAAGTACAACGAGTTTTTAAGAATGGCAACTTAAGCAAAAATAATTAGATTTAGTGAACCAATATCCAGAAACTTTTCTTCACATCAAACAACTCGCTATATATATTTATGTTCTGTTGTGACCTCAGGCGCCATGAATTTTACTTATAAACTACTTGATTCCTGGGTTTAAAAACCACTTTGAAGTATGAACCCACGTGTGTCCATACTTTAAGGCGGTACTGGTTATGAATGATTGATTGCTGCATGTTTTCTCAGGGTGAGCAAATAAAAGTTATTTGGTTGCTGACATTGTGTTTGTTGTTAACATAGGTGTAAAGATACTTAGGGTTTTGTTTGGCATTGGTTATTTTGTGTTTTAATGTTCTAATTGCAATGCAGAAGAAACTTTTTGTCGAGGCTTTACACAAGTGCTCTCTGATAAAAGGAATGATTTGCCATTTACTGCTGAGTTTGAGGTATCAAATTTTTTCTTGCATTCTATTAGCAAGAGAAGTTTCCTGGTCAGCCAACATTGCTTGCATTTGGTTGGTTTAGAGGGCATATGGAATGAATTTGCAGCATTTAATTTAGCTGATGGAGAAGATTTAATAACATTCTTGGAGATATTGGTCTTTAAATAGATTTACCTGATTGATTTGGAAGAGCCTCTTGATCAGTTTAGCCTCAGTTTAGTGTAATTTTCTTTTTTATAAATGAAAAGAGTTTTAAGCATTTTAGCTAAATACTGTTGCCTTGCCAGAGTACAGTGACCTTGTGGCGCGCTATTAAAAGAAGAACCATTATTAATGTGGCTTCTTTGATTTGCTACCTTTACTACTGCTAATTATAAGTTATAGTGTGTTTTTTACATATTGTATTATTGCTGCTCGTATGTCTCCTCCATAAACCATAAAATTGTAGCTGGGAAGAGTAGGTGCTTAGTATTCATCAAACAAGATTTCAGTGTCCTAGTTGTTGTATAATATTGCCATAGCAATATTTTTTTAGTTTATTGGAATTCAGAGATGTGGCAATAGTGTTGAAGCAGTTTAGTGATTGTTTGAAAACATTATTTTGTGAAGTGGGTAAACATGAGTAACTAATTGTAAGAAAACAGTCATGTGTTTGATGTTGGTTCAGGCACTGTTATGAGATTTTGTTGCATAACTTGCTACGCTAATAAATGTAACTTATCTCAGCTTTGATATTTACATTGTTAAAAGTTATTTTGCATTGCTATTGTATTTTAAATTACCCTGTTGTGTTAGATTTAATTTTAAATCGCTGAATGTGTGCATAAATTGTTATTTCATACGTAAATTGCAAGCTGTGTAACACTTCTTAACAAGTCCTGTTGATTGGTTCAGGCTTTGAGTGCTTCTTTCCAGTTGATGAACGGATGTTTTTCCAAGTTTTTTGTATTGACTATTTGGCTGATACTTATGCATTCAACTTAGATGCGGACAAAAATTTCAAAATGACTGATCAAGTTTACTGCTGGCTTTTAGGGTGTTGTTGAGTTTTTACTTTTTGTTGTTCAAATTATTGAAAAGCTCTGAAAGAGTTCAATTGGGCCATATAAATACACTTTTATATGCATCATTGGTAGACAAATTTTTAACAGTTGCTAGAAGACTATTTGGAGTTTAATTTTTTAGTTAAATTTTATTTAAATTGTCATATAGTGGGTATGGGTGTTGTTGATTTTTTAGTTTATTCATGTTTTAGTTTTTTTATTTTAGTAAGGTTCATTCAAATTTATTTATATTTTTTTAGTGAGCAGTGGAGTCATGTCTAATTTGACAAAACAGTTTACTGGCGAACTAAATGTATGTTTTGAATTAATTAATTGATAAATAATAAAAAGTTTATAATAAATATAATTAATTATTTTTGCATATATCTTATAACAACATGTGAAGAAATTTTTTTTTGTCTATACTCAACACATCTTTTTTTCTGTGCACACACAGTAGCGTGAGATTAAATATAACTTGAGTTTATTTGAAAAAGAAAAGTATACTCACATGCATGCATGCATGCATACATGCATACATACATACATACATAACATATTTGTTTACTTATAAATTAGGTGCTTACAATAATTTTCATGATTTTTTTACTATAAAAAGACATTAAGAAATGGTACAATATATACTTACAAATATATACTTACAAATTTTTGAGAATAAGGAAGAATGATGTTTGCTTGCTATTTCAAAATTTTAAAACTATGTACCAGCGAAAACATGCTGCAATCTGAACAAGTTATAATCAAAAGTCTGGTGAATATGCTGGATATGGTAGAACTACCCATCACAGTTGTAACAGTGTATTCTTTAAAGGTCTTGCAAAATGTGACTAAACAACATGCAAAAGGATGGCTTTTTGTTTATTACTTGCAATTGCTGGTCTTTTTTGCAACAATATTTCATTCAATTTGTTTAATTGGTGTTGGTTGATATTTGCAGTAAGATTTCATTCATTTTTAGCAGCTTGATCCTACCATGTTCAACAAAATTTTTTGTTAATTTTCAGTATCAATGTGGAAGGCTCTCCAAGAATACTCCATTAGGTCTTCTCTTGGGATTGTTTTAGTAGATACACTTTTCATCACCTGTCATAATATCCCACATAAATATTCTCTTTATTAGGATGCAAGCTTTAAAACTGCTATGTTGAAATGGTTTAATAAATTTTTATTAGGTTTGTGTGGTAGTCAACTTTCTTCAATTTGGATTTTTCATTTAAACATCTGGAGACAGTTGATTCATCAACTTCTAAACTGCCTGATATTACATAGTTTTTTTTTTCTTATATGTCTTGCAATCCATTATCTTCAAACTTTTTTGGTCTTCCAGGCTGTTCTACCACAGATTAAATTTAAAATTTGAATTACTGGTCCATTGGAAGTCATACATGTAACTTTTCTAATATTAATTAGCTGAACTTTATATATTTTTTAAAAACTATTTAACATATGTGCAACATGAAACTAAATTGTTGATTTGTAAAAAAAAATTAAAAATAATAGTATCTCACTGTTAACCCTTGTCTAACTCTATTTAAATTTATAAAAGTTTTTTTCAGCTTTACCAGTTTAGATAGTGACATATTTTTGTTAATAGCTTTCTAAATTTTCCAAAAGAATGCTCTGATTTTAATCTTAATTGTGGGTACACAATTAAGATTAAAATTATAAAATACACTTTGAACAAAGTTTTCAATCAAACAAATAATTTTTTCTGTGCAGTCGTTGCACAGTGGTTTGAAATAATCAAAAAGTGGCTTTTTATATCGGATTTTCGCACATTAAGATTTGCGAAAATCCAATATAAAAAGTTCTGATTATGCAAAATTGTTGCAAATTACTCATAATTTTATGTTCTGAAAGAATTTTTCATTTAGACCACTTGGCGCTTCCTCTCAGATGCTTAAAGTTGCCATTTTTTAAAGAACAATTATTTAGTGAAAAAGCAATAGTTTTGAACTTTTATTTTATTTCTTAAACCTCACCTGTGAACTTCCATATATTATATATCAATCGGAAGAATATTAAACAGGCTTTCAGAGTTTATTGTAAAATATTTTATAAAATTACATTTCATGCCATAAATATGCAGAGAAAGATAATTTTTTAGACTAGGAAATAATAGCATGCTTGAATGTGACTTTAATTAAATTCTGTATGGTTCTGTAAAAATCTGAATACATATGAATAAACTTCAACTCTTTTACTTTTACTCCAATACAGGCTTTGATGCTGCCCAGACATCAAAGCCTAAGAACAACTATTTTAAATTTAAATATGTTTCTACTTAAACTGATTTTTTTTTTTTTACATAAAACATGACAGTCATTTTCAATCAAATTGTATAATATTGTCATAGAAAGATATATTTGTGGTAACTTTATAACCTACTATTAATGTAACCTCAAAATATTTCCTTTAAGTTAATATAACCTCAAAAGCTTTGCAAGTTGAAAGAATAGACAAAAAATATTTTTGTTGATTTAAAGTTGTGTAAATTGATAATAAAGTACAAATTGTCTTAAATGAAGTTAAAGAATAAAGATTTATTTCTTTTGTGACTGGTGATGTTCTTAAAATGTCGGAATGTTTAAAATTTTGAAGGTGCTCAAGAAAAAGAATTAAAAAAAAATTATTAACATTACAAACCACGTACAAACAAAAAATGAAGGATGTTCAATACTCCAAATATAAATTTTATAGAAAGTCAATTTCCTGATTAGAACATGAATTTAATTTTGAATTTAAAGAAGTTATCTGGAAACTCTCAAATGTATTAGAAACGCCAGAGTTAAAAAAAGGCGACATACATTGTCTTTTAAAGAAAAAGGAAAACGAGCTAAAAGAATAGCAATTTTTAATTTGTCTGAAGAGTTGAATATGATGCAAAGTATATACTCAAAACAGCAAGATACACAGCCAAACAAATAGGAACTTAGAAAAATTATCACGTGCATTCTACAAGATCAACAATTAGCATATGATATCAATAAAAATATTGACAAAGAAATGAAAAAAATGTCTCCAGAAGAAAGACTTTTCTATTAAATTATGGTTTTACTAAATCTCAGTACATGGCGATAAGGTTGGAAAGTAGAGAGAGAGGAGCAGATATTTATCCCCTTTACAGGGATATTCTAGAATCTAAAAAAAAATGTAGACCAAATAACATCTCTGACAAGAAGGAAAATGTGCCATTGCAAAATCTTCTAAAACGTACTGTTCAAAGAATAGTAGAATCACAAGAATAGTGTTCAAAGAATAGTAGAATCACAAGAATAGTGTTCAAAGAATAGTAGAATCACAAGAATTGTGTTCAAAGAATAGTAGAATCACAAGAATAGTGTTCAAAGAATAGTAGAATCACAAGAATAGTGTTCAAAGAATAGTAGAATCACAAGAATAGTGTTTAAAGAATAGTAGAATCACAAGAATAGTGTTCAAAGAATAGTAGAATCACAAGAATGGTGTTCAAAGAATAGTAGAATCACAAGAATAGTGTTCAAAGAATAGTAGAATCACAAGAATGGTGTTCAAAGAATAGTAGAATCACAAGAATAGTGTTAAAAGAATAGTAGAATCACAAGAATAGTGTTAAAAGAATAGCAGAATCACAAGAATAGTGTTTAAAGAATAGTAGAATCACAAGAATAGTGTTTAAAGAATAGTAGAATCACAAGAATAGTAGAATCACAAGAATAGTGTTAAAAGAATAGTAGAATCACAAGAATAGTAGAATCACAAGAATAGTGTTAAAAGAATAGTAGAATCACAAGAATAGTGTTTAAAGAATAGTAGAATCACAAGAATGGTGTTCAAAGAATAGTAGAATCACAAGAATGGTGTTTAAAGAATAGTAGAATCACAAGAATAGTGTTCAAAGAATAGTAGAATCACAAGAATGGTGTTCAAAGAATAGTAGAATCACAAGAATGGTGTTTAAAGAATAGTAGAATCACAAGAATAGTGTTCAAAGAATAGTAGAATCACAAGAATGGTGTTCAAAGAATAGTAGAATCACAAGAATGGTGTTTAAAGAATAGTAGAATCACAAGAATAGTGTTCAAAGAATAGTAGAATCACAAGAATGGTGTTCAAAGAATAGTAGAATCACAAGAATAGTGTTAAAAGAATAGTAGAATCACAAGAATAGTGTTTAAAGAATAGTAGAATCACAAGAATAGTGTTCAAAGAATAGTAGAATCACAAGAATGGTGTTCAAAGAATAGTAGAATCACAAGAATAGTGTTAAAAGAATAGTAGAATCACAAGAATAGTGTTAAAAGAATAGCAGAATCACAAGAATAGTGTTTAAAGAATAGTAGAATCACAAGAATAGTGTTTAAAGAATAGTAGAATCACAAGAATTGTGTTCAAAGAATAGTAGAATCATAAGAATAGTGTTAAAAGAATAGTAGAATCACAAGAATAGTGTTCAAAGAATAGTAGAATCAAAAGAATAGTGTTAAAAGAATAGTAGAATCACAAGAATAGTGTTAAAAGAATAGTAGAATCACAAGAATAGTGTTAAAAGAATAGTAGAATCACAAGAATAGTGTTCAAAGAATAGTAGAATCACAAGAATAGTGTTCAAAGAATAGTAGAATCACAAGAATAGTGTTAAAAGAATAGTAGAATCACAAGAATGGTGTTTAAAGAATAGTAGAATCACAAGAATAGTTTTAAAAGAATAGTAGAATCACAAGAATAGTGTTAAAAGAATAGTAGAATCACAAGAATAGTGTTCAAAGAATAGTAGAATCACAAGAATAGTGTTTAAAGAATAGTAGAATCACAAGAATTGTGTTCAAAGAATAGTAGAATCACAAGAATAGTGTTAAAAGAATAGTAGAATCACAAGAATAGTGTTTAAAGAATAGTAGAATCACAAGAATAGTGTTAAAAGAATAGTAGAATCACAAGAATAGTGTTAAAAGAATAGTAGAATCACAAGAATAGTGTTTAAAGAATAGTAGAATCACAAGAATAGTGTTAAAAGATTAGTAGAATCACAAGAGGCTAAAATTACTAATAAGGACTCAATTGAGTTGATTTTTGTTGTAAATTGGGGATTTGATGGAGTCAATAATATTTCCCAATTGAATTAAAAGTTCGATAAGTTATTTGAAAGTTCATCAGACGATATGCTTTTTGCTGGTGCCATTGGACCCTTATAACTTATATAACTGGGATGTGTTTTTGGTAAACTCAACTCCTAATTGTGTTAGATTTTGCAGACCAATGATCTTAAAGTATGCTAAAGAAAGTAAAGAACTTATTCTCAAAACAAAATTATTTGTTGAATGACAAATAAATGTCTAAAGAGTTATCTTTCTCTGCATTTTTATGGCGTAAATTGTAATTTTATAAAACATTTTACAATAAACTCTGAAAGCCTGTTCAATTTTCTTCTGACTGATATATAATATATGGAAGTTTACTGGTGCAGTTTAAGAAAAAAAATAAAAGTTCAAAATTGTTGCTTTTTCACTAAATAATTGTTCTTTAAAAGATGGCAACTTTGAGCATCTGTGAGTAAGCACCAAGTGGTCTAAAAAGAAAAATTCCTTCAGAATATAAAAATATGACTAATTTGCAATATTCTTGCTTAATCAGAACTTTTTATATCAGATTATCGCAAATCTTGACACTTTCTGATTATTTCAAACCACTGTGCATAAGTCACATTAAGCTTGTTAACTAGCTGAATGAAATGGTTATAAGAACTTAATGTTAAGAAATCTCTACGTTAATAGATGTAGATTTCCCAGAACTAACGCTAAATAACAAGATGCCTAAAATCATATTTTTATTTAAAGTTTAAAGTTTAAGTTTGATTACAAAAGCATATTTATATAAAAAATAATATTGTATTGTAGTTTTTTCTATAATCTGCCACTAATTTGCAACAATCTTGCATAATCAGAACTTTTTATATCGGATTTTCGCAAATCTTGAATTAATGCCACTTTTTGATTATTTCAAACCACTGTACATTAGTCACATTAAGCTTGTTAACTAGCTGAATGAAATGGTTACAAGAATTTAATGTTAAGAAATCTCTCAAAGAACACCATTCTTAAACAGAATTAGTGTGAGTATAAAAAAAAAGCCAAGTTTCCTTCATACTAAAGTCATCTAATCTTTTATTGGTGTAGACAATAACAGCAGAAAATGCTTCTACAAAAATCGTTTATAAATCAGGAATTGGAAATTTAAAGAGCTTCTAACAATCAGGATCTTCTAACAATTGTACAATAATCTTAGGAGATAAATATCATATCACTCATGCTTTTCTGAAATTGGTTTCCAACTTCATGATCCTATTCTACTTGAATTTTTTTAGCAATTTAAAATAGATTTAAGTCATTAAAAAAGCATGCTCTGCTTTGCTATAATTTTAGACTCTGCCATCTCAGATACAGAAAACTTCAAAAATTATAGACCAGTTTCCAATTTAGTATTCATTAGCAATTTAATAGAAAAAGTAGTTTCCAATCGTCTAGATTCCCACATGCAACAAACAATCTTCATATAGAATATCAATATGGATACAAAAAACATCATTCTACTGAAACACTTTTGCTGAAGCTTACTAATGATATATTTAAACTCTTTGATAAGAATACACCTTCAGTACTTATGTTACTTGATCTAAGTGCTGCTTTTGACACTATTGATCAACAAAAACTACTTGGGCTATTAACTAGTGAAATAGGCATAATGGACTCAGCTCACAAGTGGTTTGAATCATTTTTAGTTAATCTTACCCAAAATGTAAAAATTGATAACTCATACTCTACAAACCAAAATGTCAAATATGGAGCACCGCAAGGTACAGTACTGGGTCCAAAACTATTTAATATCTATATGAGACCACTGTACAAACATCTGAACATAATCAATGTTAAAACTTTTGGATACTCAGATGATCATCAAACTCTCAAAGCTTTCCTTCTTTGCAATATAATGCATTAGGTCTGGATATACCAGAATGTCTTGGACACATATCTAAATGGATGAGCAAATCATTCTTATGCATTAAGCAATCGAAAACAAAAATACTAATTATGGCACCACCTAACATTCAAAAAGATATTATTATTAAAGTTACTTTTGTTAACAAGGAATGCATTAGATTTGTTGACTCCACAAAAAGTTTGGGTGTGATACTTGACAATGAACTGTCTTTGAAAACACAGATAAATAAGATTGTGAAAAGTTGTTACAATATAATCAGCAAAATATCCAAAATAAAACAATTCCTATTGCATAAAGATTTGTGCACCATAGTATGTTCATTAATTTTTTCACAGCTAGATTATTGCAACTCCCTCTACTTTGGAATTGAAAGGTCACTATTAAAAAAACTGCATTCTGTTCTAAATTGTGCAGCAAGACTAGTATTTAAAGCCAGAATAGAAAATCAAATAAATGACCAGGTATTTATCAAATTGCATTGGCTTAAAATTAGAGAAAGACTTTATTTCAAGGTTTTTATTAATAATGCACAAGTCTATTATCCAGGAAGGGCCAGCATCATTGTGTAATTTGATTCCCTTCTCAATATTAGAGAGAACTCTGAAATTAAAAGAAACAAAATCCAGCAATCGTTTTGGTGATCGGGCAGTATCCCACTATGGTCTTAGACTTTGGAATATTCTTCCAAGTATCATTTGAGATGAAACACATCTATTTAGAAGAAAAAACTAAAATCATATTTAATGGTGAATAGCGAACTATTCCACCAGAAAACTCTAGAATATTAAAAATTATAAAGTAATATAATAATTTATTGCACAGCTGAGCAAGTGTTTTGCCAGCTTACGCTTTATTTGGGCAAAACACAGTAGCTGTGGGTAAACCCATGTATTTATTTATTTATTTAATTTAAGAAAAGCAATTTCATAGTAAATAGCTATAATAAATGCTACTTTAGAGATCATATATTTTATTTCAAGATGTTCAATGATTGTGGATATCATATTAAGCTTTAAAAAGTATATGGCATAGGCCATAAATTTTACATGGTGATAAGTGCTAGGTTAATAGATGTAAAATCTCTATAATTTCTCAAAACTAACGCCAAATAACAAGATGCCTAAAAACCTAATTTTTATTTAAAGTTTAAAGTTTAAGTTTGATTAAAAAAGCATATTTATAGAAAAAATAATAATTGTATTGTTGCTACATACCTGGAGAAAATTTCATATTTTTGCTCATTAATTATTCTTTAGCATTCAAATAGAGTTCAGTTGCAGAGATCACTGCCTGCAACAAAGTCTTGCTTAGGAAATCATTTTTATTTTTCTACAACATTGGGTGAAAATTTTAAATAAAATTCTGGTATCCATTTCTACTGAAAAATTTTAAGCAATTTGTTAGCAGGGGTTTTAGAATTTTTCTTTCAAATTGTTTTTAAATTCCAATCATCTCTGCAATGTGGTGCCTACATGGCATATATATATATATATATATATATATATATATATATATATATATATATATATATATATATATATATATATATATATATACATATATATATATATATATATATATATATATATATATATATATATATATATATATATATATATATATATATATATATATATATATATATATATATATATATATATATATATATATATATATATATATATATATATATATATATATATATATATATATATATATATATATTAGGGTGGGTCATAAAATTTTTTTTTCTTGTTACAGGCTCTAAACATGCTAATAGTTATTAATATTGATACTATCAAATATGAGAATGATTGTGATAGATTTAAAGGGCGCAACTTTATTGGGAAAATTACCGGTACCCTAATATTTTGGAGAAAAAAAGTTTTATAAAAGTAGGTCAACTTAGCACTCAAAAGAAGCGAAATTTTATAAAAAATTCGAAAATAATAGTCGTTTTGTAAAAATCATATTGGTGAAAAAAATTGTTATTAAAAAACATGTAAAAATGCACCTTTTTCACTTTTAGTTAAAAAACTATAGTTATTATGCAATAAAATCTAAAATAACAATTTTTAAATGAAAAAATTATTGTTTTTGAAATTTTTATAAAATTTCGCTTTATTTGAGTACCTACATCACATAATTTTGAAAAACTTTTTTTTTGAATAATAATAGGGCCTGCTAATTTTTGTAATTATAGTTGCGGGTGAAAGACATTGTTCAATCCATAAAAGTAAATACTTTCCTAAATTAGTACATGAAAATACAACTTTATAGACCATAGCCAGGTTTGCAACTCTAAAAAAAAATTTTATGACCCACCCTAATATAAATATATATATACACACACAGGCCCATACATACTAAAAAAAACTGCATCTCAAAGATCTTTGATAACATTATACATAATAAAAATGTTTCATTGCTTTTTAATTTTTTTTCTTTAGATGCGTGATTTAGTTGATCCTTTTGTACAGGTATCATTTGCAGGCCTCGAGGTAAAATGTTTTTTCAAAAGTACTTATATATATATTCATATATTATATTTTATATAAATAAATTTATATATATATATATATATATATATATATATATATGTATATATATATATATATATATATATATATATATATATATATATATATATATATATATATGTATATATATATATATATATATATATATATATATATATATATATATATATATATATATATATATATACATATATATACATATATATATATGTACATATATATATATATATATATATATATATATATATATATATATATATATATATATATATATATATATATATATATATATATATATATATACATATATACATATATATATACATATATATATATATGTATATATATATATATATATATATATATATATATATATATATATATATATATATATATATATATACATATAAATTTATTTATGTAAAATGAATAAAAACAATGTTTACATGGAATTCTAAGTTTCATGTCGAGTCTTTATTGTCAAATAAAGAAAGCAAGAATTTCTTTGAATGTCATCATTTTGATATCATTTTTTTCTACAGTATGGGCCAAAAAAATCCAGCCAAGAAATTTTATAAAGTTTTTTTACTAAATTTCTTTTTAAAATATACAGAAAACAAATTTAATGAGTGATTTTATTTAAAGTATCAATATATAAATATCATGCTTTTAACACGTATATATAAAATGTATATATATATTTAAAAAGATAAAAAAACCATCAAAATATTTTTTTGAAGAAAATCAGTATTAAAGCATTAAAAGACACATTTTATAAAGTAATGATGATTTCATAAATACAAAAGTATTACGAAATATACATAGTACAAAATAATTGTTCGCAGAATTATTGTATTCTATTATTATCTTGAAAGAGACATTTTATTTGAAACAAAATCTCAAAATCTAGTACTTGGTCATAGCACCTTTTGCAGCTAAGACTGCATTGATTCTTTTAGGCATACTGTCAACAAGCTTTGTTAATAACAATGGTTCTAAGCTATTCCATGCCTCTTTTACGCAATTGAAATGACAAACTTTATCATTACACATTCTTCTTTTAATTTTATCATTGAGTATTGACCATATGTTTTCAATTAGATTTAGGTCGGGAGATTGGTTAGGCCACCATTTTAGAGTTAGCAAATTTTTTCAACATATGCTTTGTTATATTTTGAAGTGTGCTTAGGATCATTATCTTGTTGAAATAGATAGTTACCATATTTACCATCTGGAAATAATTCCAAGCAACTTGGCTTTGCATTATGAGCAAGGGTACTTTGGTACTGGTATTGATCCATATTACTTTTAATCTTGTGAATCCTTCCTGTAGCATGCCCAGCAAAGCATCCCCATACGTTAATCTTTTTTTTGATGCTTAACTGTGGTTTTTATACATTCGTTGTGATACTTTTCATTACTACGCCTCCAAACACGAAATCTTCGATTACACCTAAAGCTAAAATGAGACTCATCTGACCAAACAACTTGTCTCTATTGAGTAATAGTCTTTATGCTCATTGCACCATTGAAGCCTATGTGCAATGTTGATCTTTGATAAAAGAGGTTTTTTAATAGCCCATTGAGAATCTAAATTTTTACACTTATGTAAACGACGAATTATGGTTTTTCCAGAAATATTGGTAATACCAGTTTCTGCTTTTATCCCATCTGTAGAAATACGACAATTTTTAAGGGCAGCTTGGACAATGCGTCTATCTTTCCCTTTAATAGTTTTTCTCTTTCTTCCTGATCCAGATTGACGGACTTTTTCTCTTATCTCCTTAAACTTCTTTAGAAAATCAGTAACAATACTTTTTCCGCATCCAACCTTGCTTGCAAAACCAAAGGATGACATCTCAGTAATTTTTCCTTTACTAATGTCATTTAAAACCATTTTTATGTATTATATATTTATCTAGTCTAGAATGTAATAAATTAGCATATTTCATAATTAATAAATACATCTTAGAAATTTTTTATATTTACAGGGTTAGGGTAAGGTTCGTCCTGTCTATCTACAATTTATATTTTATTACAAAATAATCAACCAACTTAAGAGTTATTTAACCATAACTATGTAAAATAAGAGCCCAAATAAGAAATAGTTGAGAAAAGAAGAAAAAAGTTAACCTATACTCAATATGAAACTCTTTTTTAATATATAAATGAGATATAAATCATTTAAACAAGAAATATGCAAAAAGTTGAGATATTAGTTTAAATGTCTGAGAAATGCTTGTAAAACCCATAAAATGTAAATTTTTCAGCAAAAAAATCTTAGCTGGTTTTTTTTTGGCCCATACTGTACTTTTAATAAGTTTTTTCTATTTTATGATAAATTTGATATTTTGTGTGGAGTCAAAGATTCAAATTATTGATGCTTGATTGTAGTGTGGTGACTAAAATCCTAAATTCAAAGTTTTAGATCTAAAATCTTAAATCCAAATTCGTTAAACAGTTTTGTCATTTTTATACTTATGTGCATTGTAAAAACAGTGTTTCTTAAATAAACGGGGTTTTGTCTATTCTCATTTTGGATATTCTCTGTGTTATATATCTGTATCTGTTAACTTTTCTCAGATAAAAGTTAAAGTAGATTGTTAAATGTCTGCCTAGCCTAATAGTCTATCTTGAAAAAATATTTTTAAGCTTTGAAACAACTAGCAATAGCTTATTATTTTTTCCTTATAACTATTGTTTCTTTAAAAATATTGTTTTTGCTTTAGCATTGTTAAATGTCTTATTAGTTTGATTTGTTGAACAGTATTTATTATAAATTTTATGATACTGGTTTTTTTGCAGTGAACATCTTTATACAAAGATTGAAAGGCTATAGGGTGGTATAGCTTACATTTTGCATTCATTTTTATAATATACTATATATTGTAAAAGTATTGCTAAAAGTATTGTTAAAACTTGTTACTCTAAAATCTATGAAATTGTTTCAAGCATTGGTCCTTACATCTTTTTTTTATATACATTTGATTTTCTTTTTATTTATACTATTTTTTTACTAAATATATACTTAGCTAGCTTAAATAACTTAATAAATCAAATAAATAAAATATTTATTAAGAAGGCAAATTAAAAAAAAGCAATAGTTCTTAAAATAATAAAAAGTAACAAATGACGAAAATGTATTTACAAATGACGAAAAAGTATTTACAAATGACGAATAATTTGAAAAAGTCTTAAAATAGTAATATATTTTTTTTAAGAATGTTGTTTAAAAATTATTATTATTTATTACAATATTTTTTTTCCTTTTTGTTTCTCTTTTTGTTTTTCAATCTTTTCATGTTTTTATTTTTCTTCTTTACTTTACTTTTTTTTTTTTGTCTTTCTAATATTGTTTTTATTTTGTGGTGAGCGCTTTTTATTTTTCAATACTATTTCTTTTTTTTTTTATTTATTATTTTTATTTTTTTTTTCCCTCAATTTTATAGTTTTTTCTTTTCACAGTTAAAAAACAAATCCTTTATTCACGACGACCCTGCAATGTATTCAAAGCCTCAAATAAACAGAATAATGATAGAATGTTATTGTTAAACCATGTAGAAAAGATTGGTGTTTATATGATTTTAAGCTTCCTGATTTTATAAAATCAAAAAGCTCAAGAAAGTTAAAAGTCTTAAAAAAAGAATTAAAGAAAAATATGGTTCATAAATTTCTTTATGTACCATATTATTTTTCCATATTTTTGTATTGTTCAAGCCAAAATGATGGGTAACTATAAGTCTATAAACTGCTTCTACAATAAAATAATCTACAATAAATTAACTGATTAAATCAAAATTCAAAAACTTCATTAAAACTCAAAGAAAAATTTTTATAAATTACATTTGTTAAGTTTGTTAATTAATAACAAGCAGAAATCACAGGCTCCTTTTTTTGATGGTCAGAAAGAATTGAAAAAAGTATTTTTAACTATAGAAATATCTGACATACTTTTTTAAGCTAAATTTCGTTTTAGTAATTTGGAAATCTTTTTTTATTTCATCTAGCTAATAAGGAAATACAGAAACATGCTTTAATAAGAATCTAAGATCAACAAATTGGTTGCAATAAGCACACTTAAAATCAATCAATGTAAACTATCCTTGTGTAAAACAAAAAAGTTAAGAAATAAATTATGTTGGGCTGTCTATGGTCTATACACCAATGATTTACAACTTAAACACCTGGTTGAATCTTTTAATAACTAGTGTAATGATACAGTAAATAATATTAATACAAATCATTGTAATGGTTATCTAATAGTAAATAAAGTTGGCATTTACTAAAAAACATGTAAACTATAGAACATGTAAAACAGAACTGTAGAATTAGAAATAGCTTCATTGCATACATTGACTTATCATTACATCAATTTTTTTTTTTTTTTATTATTATTTATTTTTGTCTTGAATTAAGTTAACATTTTGAAAATGATATATTGAACTGTGCACACCTAAGTCTGCTAAAGTAAGTTGGCACACACTCACACACATATACACACACAAATAAGTTTATATATTTTTATATAATATTTTAAAGTAAGTCTGCACATGCACACACATATACACACAAATAAGTTTATATATTTTCAAAAAATTATAATTTAATGTAGCTGTTTTGTATTTTAGGCTAGAACAAGTGTTCAACATAATTGCTATAATCCAAAATGGAATGAAGAAATAGTTTTTTATGAATTGGTAGTTAAATTTTCTTATTCTTGTATATATACATATTCATATATATCATACTTGTATATATCATTTTTATTCCTGTAAAAAACATTTTTTTTTACTTTTTTTTTACTCTTTTTTTCATATTTCTTATTTTTTTTACATTTTTTTTTCTATTTGTACATATTTAAATTTAACTATTTTGGTATATGTAAGTAACATTCTTTGCAACTATTGTTGTTATTTTTATTTGTTTATAATATTTTTATTTAATCATTATAATTCACATCTTCATTTATTTAAATAGATAAATATTTAAGTAAAGGTAACAATGTTTAAACCTAACCTTAACTTTAAATCTGCCTTAACCCAAACCCTTAGTTAATGTAGCAGCACTCTATTGGAATTTTTCCTATTTTTCAGTTCCTGCATTTCACTTTTTCTAAAAGTTGCTTACAGGGAACATTTTTATAAGTAGATTGCTAGTAGCGTCTACCTCTCTTTTTTGTGCTTACCTCTCTTTATTGCATTTTTTATTTTCTCACTCCTGATTACTCTAATCTTTGACTCTTGTATAGAATATTCTTTTTATATTTGTTTTAGTTGAACTTTAGCGGAAATGAGATAATAATTGGAGCTGAGGAAAATTTTTCTTTATTCAATGCTAAAGTATAAACATTATAAATTTTTCTTTATTCAATGCTAAGTATAAACATTATAAATTTTTCTTTATTCAATGCTAAAGTATAAACATTAAATACACACTATTCCAGTAGTAAAAACTTGAAAAATATTTTAAAGCAGGATGCTACGTTTCTTATTCACACTGTACACTCAAAAGAAAACCTTTAAAAAAGTTGAGCAACAGAATGACTTCCTTATTTGATCAAAAAATTGCTTATTAACAAATTCATTAAAACTCTGAAATAATTGCTTTATTAACAATATTTAATCATTGTTTATTTTGTGACAGTTTTATTTTAGCATTAATTTACGTTTAATAGCGATCTGTTCTATTCACATTTTAATACATCATAAAGTAAAGAAAAAATTATGCTACTGTTATTTATGACTACTTAAAAAAAGATTTAAGTTATCCAAAGATGTTTGCTCAAAGGTGATGAAAAAATGGTTGGACCTAACAAAGTTTGAGTTACTGTAAGTTCGACTTAACTGGAGAATTCTAATAGTAATCAATTAGACAACTTCAAGAAACCAAGTTAAACATTTCGAGATAACAAAATTTCAAGTTAACCGGTGTTCAACTTACTAAAATTTTATTGTACTGTCATTTTTGGTTGGGTTTTTTAATATCTTTTCTCTTTTTAAATAAGGTCTAAAATTCCATTTTAATTTTCTATAATTGCTTGAGCCTCTGTTCAATTGTTGTAATGTCCATCTTCTCTTTTCTACAAATTCTACCATGGTTGCTTCTAATCAAATTTCAATCCTTCGGGATTTGCCATTTATCAAAGTTGTATCTATTTACTATAACTGTTCCTTTATACTTGAAAAATCTTAAAGTATTAATTTTTTTACCATTTAATTTAATGCTTCTTTCTTATCTTCGATTTTTTCTTGTTCATATCCTCAACAGTGTTTTAAGTTTTCTGTCCACTGTTGTTGCTTTTTTTTTTATTTCTTTACTTTATAGTAACTTTCATTCTTGAATAGTGGTTACATACAGTTAGAAATGAAATAGTTAAACAAAAAAATAGTAACAAAACAACTAAACAAACCACTACTAACAATGGAATAAATAGTTTAAACAATATTTATACAAAATAAATTGCTTCGTTCAAATATTGTTATATGTATTATATAATACTTTTAAAATATTTAGTTTCCTTCACTATGTCGTAGAATAAAAATTCAATTGAAGGACAAGTAAGTCTTTTAGAAGTTACATATTAAGATATGTTTTTTTTAATTTTTTATTTTAAACTTCGAATAATTTTATTCTTACTATATAAATTACTGTTCTGTAAAAGAGTTAAATTGTTGCTATATAAACAATGACACATAAATATAATGCGGCATTATTATAATTATATTGCATACTAAATATTAATTAGATTTAATAAAAACTTATATTTAGAGATATTTTAAGAGAAGAAGTTATTGGAACACTATGGATTGATTTATCAGACATTTCTAATAATGGTTCTTAATATTTTATAATTTATTTTACTATATGCATGTGTTTATGTATGTATGTATGTATGTATGTATGTATGTATGTATGTATGTATGTATGTATGTATGTATGTATGTATGTATGTATGTATGTATGTATGTATGTATGTATGTATGTATGTATGTATGTATGTATGTAATGAAATAAGTTTTAATAAACTTATTTTGACCCCTGAATACATGCATACAAAACTATTAAATAAATTTTTTTTCAACAACTTCACTTCCAACTAGGTTGCAAGCAACCACTATTAGGTTTGGAAGTTACTGAAAGAGAAAAGGTTAAATTTATAGAGCAAGATAATTATTGATAGATAATTTAAAATATTTCAAATTATATGAATAAGAAAAACAAGATGATGGAAGCGAATTCCAAAGAACTGATAATCAAGGAAAAAAACTGGACCAATAAGAATTTTTGAAGAACTTTGGAACAGTCACAGTAAAAGGATGAGACTTAGTAGAATGACGAGTAACATGAGAATGAATTTTAGTAGATGGCACAAGAGACACTAGCTCTTCAGAGGAGTGCCGGTTATAGTATTTATAGAAAAGAGAAAAGGAAGCAACATTATGACGATGCGATAATGGTCGGAAGTTAGCTGCAAAAGCAGGTCTAGTTATGTTTACAATGCGTTTTTTACACCTTGTCTAAGTAAGAAAGTGCATCATCGGAAGATCCGCCCCAGATATGGCAACAATATTCAATACAAGGATGGATTTGAGATTTAAAAAGATAAAGAATAGAATCCAGAGTAAGGAAGTTGCAAGCACGATAAAGAGATACAACCTTAGCAGATGCTAATTTTGCAATACATTTGGTATATGGTTTCCAAGAAACATCGGAAGTAAGAATTATTCCTAGAAGATGAAGGGTAGATGACTCATCGGGTCATCATCATAAATATAAAAAAAAATCTAGACTATTGCAATAACAATTAGCTGAAAAAAATTGGGTTTTATCTGAGTTAAATTTCACCAGCCACTGAAAGCCCCATGCTGCAGCAGAAGTGGGATCTTTCTCAAGCTTAAATGCCATCTCCCAGCAATCACAGAGTGTTAGCTTCTTATCAAGACAAGAATAAATGGTAGTATTAACAGCAAAAAATGTCACCTTAGAAATTCTGAAGGATTGTTGATATAAATTTAAAAAGTATAGGGCCAATCATAGAACCTTGAGAAACCCCTGAAGTTACAGGATATGAAGAAGAGTGCTGTACATCGAGGACAACTTTTATACTATGATTGGTAAGGAAGGATTCAATAAGCTTAAAGATGTTACCTGTGTTACAAATATTGAATTCTTATGAATGTAGATGCTCAGGCCAAGCATGTGACTCTTAGAGTCTTTAGGAATAAAAGGAAGATAACCATCAACACTAAGACCACAAGATGAGACAGCTAAACTCAAATTAGTCTCACAAAAAACAAGTAGGTCTGTTGAACTTTGCAAGAGATAAGACTCAACAGAAGAGAAATTACTTTGAAGACCACTAGTATTATTGAATAATAGGTTTAGTGATAACAAATGTTTTTTTGTGTTTTACAGCTTTTGGTACTTTAGTTATTTTTAAATTTGTTATAGAACTTGACTCAAAGCACAGATAGTACTCAGCTCACTATATAATAGTCCAAGCAATTTTCTCATTACTATCAATAAACCCTAACTTGTAACAAAGGGTTCCAAATGTGGCCTTCACAATGCACACCAAAAGTTAGAACAGGAACACCATCCATGCGCAACATGGCACTGTTAGTACTCTAATATTTCACAGCTGTTGATGGAATCAGCCTCTCCAAGAGCTACTATAAATTTCAGGAAACCTAGTTACCAGCCAGCTTCAGAACCATAAAACTGAGTTTTAGAGCTGTACCCTCATTAGGAGATAATAGAATGTATTATAAATACATCTATGCCAGCCTAATTGATGAAAAAGGGATGCAAAGTTAGTCAACAGACAAAATCTGCTTAGCTTTTAAGTCTTTGCCTAGGAGGCCTTCTACAAGCCACTAGTTGGATGCATTTAACATCTTCCCAAAATAAAAATTTTTATCAAGACACCATCTCTAGCCCTTACTCAACATAGAGCTTCAAGGCAGGGGGTGTTTTAAGTCAAAGTTGGCTTTTCCTAGTCTTTGCTTAAAACAAGCGTATCCTACAAGGCAGCAGGGCATAAAGCAGGTTGTACTGTACTACATGTTACCAGTAAAAGGATAACATGAACTGACATCGTTGGATAACCTGATCTGACAGTGATAAGTTTGTCTCAAGTGTCTGTCTGTGTCTGACTGGATATTTTGACCTGACAGTGTTTGCAACCCGACCTTACAGGATATTTTGACCTGACAGTGTCAGACATTGGCACACTTCAGACTATTTTTGAGACCTATTTGGGGAGATGGGGGACAACCAACTATTGTTAATTTTTACTGATAAAATGTACAATGATTTGTTGTATATATTCTTATATAGTTTTATCCCAGAGGGTAATTAGGTAAATAAATAATAAATACAACAAGTTACAAATTCATAAGAATTAAATGAAAAAGAAGAACTTGTAACCTATAAGAGATAAAAAATTTCTTGCAAGAGAAATCAATAATGTCTGCAAGAGAAATTAAAAAAAAGGAGTTAAAAATTGTGTAATTCATACCCAGTGGAAAAATTCTTTTTCTTCTTCTTCTTCTTCTTCTTCTTCTTCTTCTTCTTCTTCTTTTTCTTCTTCTTCTTTTTCTTCTTCTTCTTTTTTTTCTTCTTCTTCTTCTTCTTCTTCTTCTTTTTCTTCTTCTTCTTCTTTTTCTTTTTCTTCTTCTTCTTCTTCTTCTTTTTCTTCTTCTTCTTCTTCTTCTTTTTCTTCTTCTTCTTCTTTTTCTTCTTTTACTTCTTCTTCTTGTTCTTAAGTTTTAATCTTGATCATCATAGACTTATCTAGGGGTGGGAGTTAAGGTTAGTGATAGTCTAACTAAAAATACTAAACTAAATTTTTAGTCTAACTAAAATTAGTTGACTAAACTTTTAGTTAACTAAAATAACCTAACTAACTTTTTAGTTAACTAAAATTAGTCGACTAATGTTTTAGTTAACTAAAATTAGATGACTAACTTTTTAGTTGACTAAAATTACCCGACTAACTTCTTAGTTAACTAAAATTATCCAACTAACTTTTTAGCAAACTAAAATTACCTGACTAACTTTTTAGCCAACTAAAATTACCCGAATAACTTTTTAGCTAAGTAAAATTACCCGACTAACTTTTTAGCTAACTAAAATTTCCCAACTAACTTTTTAGTCTAACTAAAATTATCCAACTAACTTTTTAGTCTAACTCAAATTAGTCGACTAACTTTTTAGTTAACTCAAATTAGTCAACTAAATATTTAGTGTAACTAAATTTAGTTGACTAAAGCAAGATTTAGTGCTTGAAAAAAGAAATAATCTTTTGCATAAAAATTTTACACACGCTTTATTAAGGCAATAAATATTATTTTATTTTAACTAAACACTTTACTAATTGTGAATCCTAGAGCCCAGTCGAACAAAACTGTTTTTAAAAAAAAGTGTTTTAAGCGAAATTTGATTATTTTTATTTTTTCCCAGCTCGGAAACAACTGCCTATGAGGTTGTTCCAACTATTTATAAACTCCCAATCAGCATGGAATGTACAAATAATGCCCTTTAGTCAATTAAATCAAATTTGGTACACTTATTGAACATTTAACTTATATTTTTTATGTGCTGCATTCTATAGGTAGTATGCAGTAATAATCGCACATCAAAAATAATCTAAAAAGCCGTACCAGCTAGGGTGTGGGCACCTTCCCAGGTTTACAACATTCTGTCGGTTTTGTTGATAATTTGGAATATTTGAGACTCGGTCGGGTAAAACTGAAATTTGGCTTTTAATAAAAAAAAGCCCTATTTTGGTGAGATTTTTATGGTAAAATATATTTTTTCATTTGCACTTTGCCCCCCTGTCTTACATCTTTGTTGTTCAGTACAGCCCTTTCCCCTGTCATATTATAGGAATGGGTTCAATCTATAATTTTCACAACAAATCTACAAAACCCCCTCCACCACTTTAAATATCAACCTCTCCTAACTATTGATAACCATCCCAAATACAAAAAAAAAAGTAAAAAAAAAACAGAAAAACAAAATATAGTATTTTTTTTCTTCTGTAGATTGAAAATTACAGTAAAAAAAAAAAAAAATTACAAACAATGCAGTCGAACATTTGGCATTCTAGTTCTTCCAGATACAAAAAATATAAAAATATTGTGTTCATATAAAAATTATAAATAGGCATTAAATTCCCTCCCTCTAATAACCCTCCCCAAACCTATTTTAATGTTATCGTAACCACCACCACAAATACAATACGCAATATACAAACATTTATTATTGCGTCTCCTCTCCTGACTATTATAACCCGCAAACACTACATTTAGGCAGGCTAAAATATTGACATAAACCCAAAAGGTAATCGTTAAATAAGTTATTATGAATATATTTATTGCTTTCAGAGTATAGTTAATTGTTGGTTGGCGATACTTGCAAAATTTAATACAAAGACTGGTATTTGCATTTTAGAATGCAATTTCCGCAATATAAGTTGTTGAATAGTGTATAAAATGTATTAAATGATGCTTAACTGTAAAATAATGAAAACATTTTATTAAGTAACTACGGTCCCTTTTAAAACCAGGAAATTGTTTATTATATTTTAATTACTTGAAAAATGCAATACGTAGTTTTTAAAATACATGTAAAACCGGGTTAAAACAATTATCAATTAAAATTCAATAACTTTTTTATTATATTTATTTTTACATTTTTTCATTAGATAGATGTTAAAAAAAAATACTAAAGAATATATAAATAAATATTAAAAAAAAAAAATCAAATTATTAAAATAATAAAGGTAAAAAAAAAAGTTTGTGGTTTTAGGCAACATTATGATAAAACCGCACACTCAAGAACATTAAAATTACCCATTAATTTTTTTAATTTATAATTTTTTCTTTACCATTATTTTTTAAAAAACACATTTTAAATTTAAAAAGCTATATTCATTTTTTACATTTTTGGAACAAACAAAAAAATCAGTTTCACACAAAAGAGTTTGAATACTAAATTTAATAACATTTATTTAAGAACAATAAAATGTATTAAAAAATATTTATTACAAGAAAAAACTTCAGTATTAAATTTAATAAATTTAAACTAAATTAAAAAACTCCAAATTTTCGTACAAAAACAACAACATTTGAAACATTCAGTTGTCATCCTGTTTCGCTTTGCATTCAAAGTGTTTAGTGCGTTAGAGAAAAGGCATTCACTTGCTGCACTGTTAGCAGGGGTACATAAAATCATTTTTGAAATACAATGCAATATTGAAAACACATGTTGATTTTGATGCCAAAAGTGTAAAAACATTTTGCTAATTTACTGACAATTTTATATAACCACTAATTTCTTTTTTTAAATCTAAACTTGTTATTTTGTCACTATCATTTCCCCAAATCATCATCTTCATCGTCAAATGATAACTTAAATTTTTTTGATTTGATTGTCACCTTTTTAACTGGAATTATATCACAAACTTTTTTTGTCAAATGAAAGTCAAATAAAATTCTCTAATGCATTTTCAATTTTTTTTTTCTTGTACTTTTCAAAGAATTAAAAACTTTTATAATTTGGATCCAGAAAAGTGGCACATAATAAAAACAAATTATTGTAATATACTGCAGTTTACAGGGCCGGCACAACTAGGTAACACGTAGAGAGTGCCGTTAAAATTTTAGCTGACTAGAAAAAGGAAAATAAAATCCTTTTTTTTTAAAATTTACTAAGTGACTGTTCTAAAAATCTACATTTGCCGACTTATCTAAAAAAGTCAAATTGGCTTACTAAATGAGCTAAATTTCATTGATGGGATGTCACACAAAAAACCAACCACCCCATCCCCTCACCCCTTTGTGCTGTACTTGGTAGCTTATTCGATTCTAAAGATATTTGTATTTTACCATGTTTACTTTTAGGATTTTTTATGAAATATTTTCTTGAAGTATCTTGTTAAGCCTTTGGTACTGAAAATTCAAAGAAAATTATTTTGATATTTTTTTATTTTTGCGGTATTATGCGTTAAAATGATCATGCATTAGCAAACTTATTCAAAAATTCTAATAGAAATAATATCAAGAACCCAAATTATTTATATTATATATTTATAAATTTCTTTAGTTGGACTAAAAACAAAGTCAGGTATATTTAGTTAACTAAAAAGTTAGTCGACTAATTTTAGTTAGAGTAAAATGTTAGTCGGGTAATTTTAGTTAGTTAAAAAGTTAGTTGGGTAATTTTAGTTAACTAAAAAGTTAGTCGACTAACTTTAGTTAACTAAAAAGTTAGTTGACTAATTTAAGTTAACTAAAGAATTAGTCAACTGATTTTAGTGAACGAAAAAGTTAGTTGACTAATTTAAGTTAACTAAAAAGTTAGTTAGGTAATTTCAGTTAACTAAAAAAAAATAGTCGGCTAATTTTAGTTAACTAAAAACTTAATTGACTAATTTTAGTTACGGTTTTTTTAGTTTAGTTAGTTACAATTTTTAGTTTTGATCACAACACTACTTTTTCTTAAAACATCTTAAGTTCATTTTTTATGGTCAAGGATACATTAAGTGATTTGGATTAGTGAGGGGTTAGTATTGTTTGTTAATTTACATTTTCAAGAAGTTGAACTCAAAAAACTGGATATTAAATTTCACTAATATTAAAATGTTTTTCAATCTCAGTGTTTTGTTTATTATTGTTTATTGTTATGTTTTTTTATTGATGATTTTTTTTTTTTAATTTTTTTATAATTGCTTTTTATTTCTATAAAATGTTATTAATGAAAAAATTAGATTTTTTCTGTGAATTATTCTGATGAATTCTGTAAAAAGTTATAGATAAAAGATATAATAAAATATAAAATTTTATTGACATTGGAGTTGTTTTTGATAATAATTATAGAAGAATAAAAAATATTATCTATTTTTTTTAATGTAATGTTTGAATAAAAATATACAGATTTTTTGCCAACATTTGGTCCATCTTGGCTTAACCTCTATGGTTCTTCTCGAGACTACCATTTTATTAAACAAAATGCTTTTTATAACCAAGGCTTGGTATGTATTTGTTACTAAATAATAGTTTATATATATTTTGATACTTATATCTGCATCCATACAATTTTTTTTTTAAATAATATGTTTTTAGGTTATCAAGTTTTCTGTGTTTTATTTATTCTGTTGGTGTAAATTTTGATTAATTTTTTTAGGAGGAAGGGATTGATTACAGAGGGCGCATTTTGCTTTCCATTCATTTGGAAGAAAGTGAATTAACAAAAGAAACAAAGAATGTATATGTTCGGCCTTTCCATAATAATTCACATGTTAGTCTTTTTTTTTTTTTTTTTTTTTTGTGTTTTTTTTTTTTTAATACAAAATAATAACTTAAAACAAGTGTATAAATAAAAATAAAGTTAATAAATAAATTAAAACAAGTGTATAAATAAATTATACTAATCAAAAATACTAATAAACTTATAGATACTTATTAATATAAATTGTAATAATAAATTAAAAAATAATAAAGGAATAAAATTAATGCTAATAATTAACTATGATTATAAAAATTTAAAGAAATTCAAGTTTTTGACTTACAACCATTACTTTTACTAATAATGAATTAAAGATTATTTAAAAAAATTTCAAATTAATTAATACTATTAATAGTAATAATTTTAGTTTTGGATTCTTTAAAGTTACTGGTTGTTAATTAAATGATTATGTTATAGGCTGTTGGAGGGATTAAAAAAGAATTTCAGTTGTTTTGTTGTATTTATGAAGCATGCATGATTGATGGAAAGACTGCTAGCAAACCAATTCAGTTTGAAATAAACATTGGTCTAAAAAACATTTATTTTTATTTATTATGAGTTTAATTCTTTTTCTTTTGGTTCATAAAATAATCAATAGTTAGTTTCCAATTTTACATTTGGTTCACATGGGTTTGGTTCACTATGATTCAACTTTGGTTTTTTTTTATTAAAAAAAATAAGAGTTGGCTTTTTCATTTATATAGCCATTTGGTTATTATATAATTTTATATAATATTAAATAATAATTTGTGTTTACCTTTTAAAAGCAAATATAATAAATTTTAGAATTTAAAATTTATTTCAGTTTCAAATTTTAAAAGGTAAAATTTTCTATAGGTAACTATGGTAATAGAGCTGACGAAAGTATATTATCATTCATTAACCAACAGCAGGTTAAAAGCGATAAATTAAATTTACCTTTAACTACAGCAATGACAGCTGAGAGCTTGGATGAAGAATATTATAACATGCCATATTATGAGCATAAACCATGTTTGCATATACAATTTACTTTAGAAGATCATATAAGACGACTTTATTTGCAAAACATTTTACATAGATTTATCATAAACCTGGTAGGATTTAAGTTTTACTTATTACATTACACTGGTTAACAAAAATATTTTTGTTTCTGGAGTTTATAAAATCACGTGTGATTTTGTATAATTTCAATTAAATGACTTAATATTAGATTTTAAGCATCATCTCAGTATTAGAAAATAATATTAGGTTTTAAGCATCAGGTTTAGTTTCTATTTAACTTTATCTACATAGGTATTGATTTTTCAAAAGTTAACCAAATATAACAACATGTTTAATGTGTTGATGAGAACGTTCTTGTCACTTACATGACCAAGCATTTTAAGAAATCTAAATGTCTGTATAAAATGTGCAACTCGATACTCATGTAATCGTTAAACTTTATAGCATGTTACTATGCCAATAATATTAACAAAAATTAAATTTAAATAGGCATTCAATTTAGCACTAACAAAAACAATATTGGTAAAATTTTTTGAATTAAATTTTTTATTTAGTAGCCATCAAAGATGCCTACAAGTTTCTTCATGCATAGTCTAAGTAATTTGTTGTATATCTATTAAAAGCAACCACCATCCTTATTTAATGGTTTCACATTTCATGGTTAACTTTAGTAACTATTGGCTCTGCATCAATGTTATGTAATATTTTTAATGACTCGATTTGTTTTATTCTACCAAGTTTTTTTTTTATTCACTGTGATACTTGGCATGACTATTCCATAATTAGATAAAACCAAGCAAAAATAACAAATAGTCATTGTTTGTAGAGTAAAAAATTCAACATTGTGAGAATTATACAAATAACCACTATGGTCAGTAATTTTTTTCCATAATATTGTTACAAAATACAATATTTTTTTCTTTAGCGAAAAAAGTTATTAGCGTGTTCCAAAAGGTTTCTTTCTTATAATCAATTCCTCGTTTCTTATAATCAATGTTACACATCAAATACCTCTAATAAATAACACCTTCACAAATTCCTTTGTTTAATTTATTTTTTGACAAGTTTATTTAACTCTTTTTTATTAAAAAGTTGCTGAGTAATTGTCAACAAAATAATCTTTTTCTCTGTCACTCGAACTTTCTTCATTTTTTTTTTTATGTAGCAGTCTTTGTGGTGGTTTCTTTATCAAAGTTTGAAGTTCAATAATGTTTTTTTACATTATCTGTAATATATATATATATATATATATATATATATATATATATATATATATATATATATATATATATATATATATATATATATGTATATATATATATATATATATATATATATATATATATATATCCTATAATAACTTTAAATTTACCGTTTGTGGTAAAAATAATGGCCTTCATATACACTTTTCAGTACACTTTTTGTAAAAAGCAATAAATTTAGTTAAAGGAAAATATAAAATTTTATCGCTTTTCCTAGAAAACTACAAAAATGTATATAATATATATATATATATATATATATATATATATATATATATATACACATACATACATATATATCTATATCTATATATATCTATATATATATATATATATATATATATATATATATATATATTTATATATATATATATATATATATATATATATATTTATATATATAAATATATATATATATATATAAATATATATATATATATATATATATATATATATAAATATAAATATAAATATATATATATATATATATATATATATATATATATATATATATATATATATATATATATATATATATATATATATATATATATATATATATATATAGATATATATATATGTAAAAATTTTAATAAAAATCAATATTTTTTATTCTTAACATGTTTAGTAGTCTTACTACATTTTCAAAAGATTTAATTTACAATTAAAACTCTGGTAAATAGATTTAAAAACTGAAGACAATACAGAGATAAAATTATCGAACAAATAAACTTGTTACAAACCAATTAAAAATTATATTACAAATTATGACAAAATAAACTTCCTAATATTAAAATATTAATAATAATGATAATATAGTAAGTTAGATAGATAAATTTATAATATAATGAGATGTTTGTTTATTTAAAGAAGGGTTTTCCCATTTAATATGAAGTGCTTCTTTTATTTTTAATTTGTTAATGGTAGAGGCAGTATCCAAAATCTGAAAGCAATCATAATTAGTTAGTGTTTTACAATTAATGGATGAATTTAAATGTTTGAAAATATGCGATTGCTTGTCACTCGTAAGGTGCTCATTTATCCTTGTTGTCAAATGTCTGAAGGTTTCTCCAATATAACTGGAGTTACAGCCAGCACAAGAAAATTTGTAGACAACGTTAGATTTAAGCATCTTAGGAAGTGGATCTTTTATGCAAAAACTGATCAATTAGATAAATAAAAAATTTATGATCAATTAGATGATGTTGCAAAAAATGTTAAATTAAATTTTATGTTGAAAAGAAAATTAATCCACCTGTTATAAATACTGTTGATAATACTAATATAAGATATTTTAAGCTTCCGTTTATTGGATTTTACTCGAATTTCACTAAAACTAAAGTATTGTAAAAATGTAATAATTAAATGTATATTCACAACCGATAAATTAAAAAACAGTTTTTCCATAAAAGATCCATTTCCTAAGATGCTTAAATCTAACTTCATATTAAATGGGAAAATCCTTCTTTAAATAAACAATCATCTCATTATATTATAAATTTATCTATCTAACTTACTATATTATTATTATTAATAATATTTTAATATTAGGAAGTTTATTTTGTCATAATTTGTAATATAATTTTTAATTGGTTTGTAACAAGTTTATTTGTTCGATAATTTTATCTCTGTATTGTCTTCAGTTTTTAAATTTATTTACCAGAGTTTTAATTGTAAATTAAATTTTTTGAAAATGTAATAAGACTACGAAACTTGTTAAGAATAAAAAATATTGTGATTTTTATTAAAATTTTAACATATATATATATATATATATATATATATATATATATATATATATATATATATATATATATATATATATATATATATACATATATATATATATATATATATATATATATATATATATATATACATACATATATATATATATATATATATATATATATATATATATATATATATATATATATATATATATATATATATATATATATATATATATATCAAAAATATATATATTCAAAGTAGATAAACTTTCGTCTTAAGTGTGGAGATATACATAAAATTTTAGAAAATTTAAAAAAGATTTAATTTTATAAAAAAAATTAAAAACAAAATTGCTATAAAAAAGTTTGTAAAAATGCACACAGTTGATTTTCATTTTCAAATAAAAAAATATAATTTTAGATGCAGTAAAATTGAAATAAACAAAAAGTATAACATAAAAGCATACTAAATATAAAAGTAATATAACAGTATAAATCTTCTTATAACTTTAAATATACTGTTAAAATCTAATATTAATGATGTTCTAATGATTTTTTTTAGTGAGTATCTTGCCAATAGATTTTATAATACAAATCAGTGTTCAGCAACTTCTTATTGAAATCATGAAGCTGAAGTATTAAAGTAGTTGAATAAATTTTTCTACAAAATCAGTAAATTTTAAAGCAAAAATTTCCAAATTATAAATATGCAAGTTTAAAAGTTTTAAAGCATACCTTATATTATTTTAAAAATAAAGCAATAATAATTTTTAAATACATCTTATAATAAAAATTTGCCTAATTGCTTATACCCATATTATTTTATGAAACGGTAAACAGCATAGCAAAAAACCTAAAGTTAAGTAAAGTAAATATGATTTTTTAATTTTGCAACCTAAATTTAATCAGAAACTGGTTTTACCTTTCTGACACTAAAATATTTATTAATCAGTGTTATGTATAACTTTATGTTGATAACTCTTATATAAACATGCGATGCAGTAATTTTGTTATCTATCACTGATATGTAGGTATGCTGTACCATAATGTAATTTTCTATAGTTAGTACATAATATACAGGATACACACAAAAAGGAAAGGTTACACTTTTGGCATATTTTTAGGAAGATGCTTTGAAAGAAACTCAAGATCGATTTCAAATTAATGCTAGTGATAGATGGGAGTATCTTAGAGATGCTTTGGATGAAATAGTTGGAAATTGCATGTAAGAATTAAAATAATAATAAAAAATAAATATGATAATATATTTAAGTAAATTTTTGTTATAAATTTATTTCTCATGCACATTAAGCCTTGCCAAATCTGAAAAAATTTTGATTTTGGAAGGTTGTCATTTGATTTCTGGTGTTTTAAGTAATTTAAAGCAAAAAATTGTAAAATTTGTCTCAGTAGGAAAAAATAATGATTAAAAATAAAAACATTTTCTTTAGTAAATCATATTTGCAGTAAAAAATAATATAAAAAAAAAAAATAAAAACTGTTTTAATTGTGAATTTAAGTGTAGCATTGTTATAGCTGAATAAAAAAATAATTAAATATTATGAATACTCAGAATGCAGAAATACACACTTACATTAGAATTTATAAAATTGTTTATTAATTTATATAATATATATATATATATATATATATATATATATATATATATATATATATATATATATATATATATATAAAGATATTATATAATGCTTTTCTAAAAACGTAAGTTTTTTGCGTAAATACTGTTTTGCAAACTTTAAACGACTGACAAGATTATGTTTTAAGACCAATGGCTTTTGTTGGACAACCCTTCCGAGTTATTTTAGTGTAAGAGACTTTATACAGTGCTGACAGACAGATTGAATTTTAAAATTTGTTCTTTAATTTTTGGTGTGCCAGAAAAAGTATTCAGCATAATAATATTGACAACGGCTGTGTCCTCACAAGTCCTCACTTGGTGTTGTTTATAGTTCTCGAGACTTCCATTTTGTCTAATGAACCAGTTAATAACTTTGAACCAGTATTGTTAATAATTTGCTTAGAAGAACAACCTAATAATTGAGCTATTTCAGAAATATTTAATCCTTGATCTCAAAAAGACTGTACTTGTCCTTAAAAGACATCAGTTTCTTGTTTACTAAATGCCATAGTTGATAGATAGTGAATTTTGCTCAATTAATTACAAGAATATCCTTAAAATACTGAATAAAAAAATGATTTTCTTTTGATACAATACAAGAATCTTTTAAAGAAAAGTAGATGTGCGTGAGTTGTTGTGCTATTTACAATGATCAAAATGTGCTATACTAAAATTATCAAAACAAGCTTTGACAGTTACAAATTAACTAACTAAAATTATTAACTAAATAAAATTAATAACTAGCATTGAATAATACTGTGTATCTATCTATGATATTTTACTGGAGAAAGTTAAAATCTAATCTTTTTTTTTTATTTTCACAGATTTTGGGTTCATTTTAATATAAAAAGTATTATTTATGTATTTTGTTATGTCAACAATAGATATTTGTGTTAAAATTGTTAATATCCAATTATAGTTAAGTGTTTAAAAACCAATTATATTTATTATTAATTTTTACATTATAAAGTGTGAAAAGATAAAATTATTTAGATTTGTAGGTTGTTATATGTTTCTGCTCAAGTATATTTAAAAAAAAAGTTTTTTAAAAAAATATATCAGGCTTTTTTAATTAGTAATAAAGTTTACATATTTTACATAGTTTACTCATATTTTATTTGCCAAATAAAAAAATGGGTACCATACTCTAGTACAATTGGAAAATATTTGTACTACATTCAGCATACACACCCAATATTTTTTAAATACTTATATAGTAACTATTTTATTCTAAAATACTTACTCATCCTTATTTAATTTTTTCAAGTTAGAAAATTAAATAAGAATGAAAATTGTGTTTCATTATCTAGCAATTATATTAAATAAATGAAATCTATTTTTTCAAATCTGTTATTTTTTATTTTTTTCAAAATATGCATTTTTATTTCCCATCAATGATCCACCCCTAAAAAAAGAAGTACTTACTGGCACCCTATCTATCTATCTATCTATCTATCTATCTATCTATCTATCTATCTATCTATCTATCTATATATATATATATATATATATATATATATATATATATATATATATATATATATATATATATATATATATATATATATATATATATATATATATATATATATATATATATATATATATATATATATATATATATATATATATGTATCTACTAGGGATGTACCGAAGCTAAAATTTTGCCAAAGACAAAGCTTCGGCACAATATATGCTTAAAATTTAATCAGCATTCAGATCAGCAGGGGTACCAAAACTAAGGTCCATGACTAATAATATAGAAAACCAAAAAAGGTACCAAAACTAAGGTCCTTAACTAATAATATAGAAAAATCGTATAAAAATGAGGACCCCAGTCAGGGTTGCTGTCCCAGGCAGGGCAAAAGCTCTCAGCGCCCCTGTTTGAAAGTTTCTCATTATGTCGTTTCTGATACTTGACTGCACCGAGCGTTTTTTTTTTAAACTTAAGCTTTTTTGAAACATTCTCCCCAAATTTTCCTTCTTTTAGTTCTACTTTTTCTGTGTGCAAACCATATTAATGTTATATAGCATCTTTTCATGTGCTGTATATTTTATTTTTATTTTTAATGCACCTTTTGTTAATAGAAGTGGATAAAAATCTCTGAACATTACTAGAGTAAATTTATCTTTTGCACTTGATCACTCTTTCTTTAAATAAACACTCTTAGCTGATCTAATTGTATCTGCAACATAAAAAATCTTACAAACACACTTTATCTTTTTATTGCTATTTATTTCAATATCTTTTTTTTATTTCTCTGTATTCATTAAACAAACAATTTTAAACTAAAAAAAACACAAGTTTGTATTCCACTACAACTGTTGTGAACCTGCTGCTAAAAAAAAGTACAAATGCTAGATTTCTCTCTAACTTCTTTTTTACACACTTTTAAGTATTTTTTTTTTGATTATTTTTAACTTTGCACTACATAACATTTTCTTTAGCTTCTATTAATCTTTTATCTTCTGAAATCTTGGTATTCATTCTTCTTTTGTCTCTGTAATGGATAAATCTGCATCAGTATCTGAAATCAAATATTAACTATCTGTGATAAAAGCTTCCATAGTAATCTAACAACTCTGTAGAGTGAGCTTTAAATAAAATAATAAATAGAATACTTTATAAATTTTTATTTTTAATTATATTATTATTTACTTTATATTTATAAATAAACAGGGACTGAGCAGGCTCATATTTATTTGATTTAAATTGTTTATTTAATTTAAATAAATTTTGATGATAAATATAAGAGCTCAAAGTAATCAAAGCTTCAACCTTTAATTTATTTTAAATAAAATTTAAAAGTATATATCATAAGAAGAAACCAGAATATAGGTTTAATAATTCATAATATCATAAGAAGAAACCAGAATATAGGTTTACATGTTTAATATATAAATTCAATTTCGAAGTATTCATAATCTGATAATATGAATACGCTAATTTAATATTAGTCGAGTTACGTCATTTTCTAGGCTTTTCTATTTTAAAGTAGTTTCTAGGCTTTTCTATACGCGGTTTTTTTTTTAAATTTTATTTATTAACAATGCGTATTACGGGTTGCTTACTGCTAGTGTTAATAAAAGAGCAAGGATAATTATTATCATTGTTTTTTCTTTTTCTTTTAGTTTATCTAGTTTTTGTTGAGTTTTTTTTTCTTTTTTTATTCTCCTCATTTATATTTCATTTGCTTTTCCTCCTTTTTTGTTGTTGAGAACTTTATGTTTTTTATGTGTCACTCCATTGACTAGTTTGTATCTATATAAGTGACACCTAACCAATGTCTGTAAATTTAGGATGAAAATTTGTAAATTTTTATTAATATGGTTAAATAAAATTTAAAAAAATTGAACATACACACAATTAAAAATAGTAGCAACGTATCTTTAATCTTCTTTAAAGTGAGATTACTAAGGTTTATAGGTCAAATGTTGAAACCAAATTTTGTTCTATTTGCGGTAATCCCACACAATATTTAATATGAATTTGTTACATAATACAAATTAAGGTTTTTTTTCGATTTTATTTTTAAAAACTTTTAATTTGTTTTAAACTATAAGGTTTTTATTCTGCATAGAAATGCTGATTCACTTCATCTAAAGTCACACTTGGAAGCCTTCAAAGTGTATGAGGACCTTCCCTAATTTTATTATTATTTTCAAAATTTTTTTACTTATTTGTTATTATCCCCTCCATAACAAGACACTTGGGAGAAAATAATACTAAGTATATGGTATAGACTCCAACTTTAACTCTGTAGTCCTGAATTTATAACTTAATTAGACACTGGCAATTAGCGTATTTTTATAACTTGTACAACAGTAGCTTATAACTTTGTATATATATATATATATATATATATATATATATATATATATATATATATATATATATATATATATATATATATACATAATATATATATATATATATATATATATATACATATATATATATATATATATATATATATATACATATATATATATATATATATATATATATATATATATATATATATATATATATATATATATATATATATATATACATACATACATACATATATATATATATATATATATATATATATATATATATATATATATATATATATATATATATATATATATATATATATATATATATATATATATATATATATGTATATATATATATATATATATATATATATATATATATATATATATATATATATATATATATATATATATATATATATATATATGTATATATATATATATTAGGGTTATGACTTTTTATCAACCCCTGCTGTACTGTAGTTTGATGAACTTTCGCCTAAAAAGCACAAAATGAACTATTATTTGCATATCTTTTCAAAAAAATTCACCCTTCCATTGAAAAATCGATTTTGACATAAGTACTAATATGTATTCAAATGTATTTAAAATGTCATAGTCATGCAATACAATAAATTTTCAATCCAAAAATGACTCAGGCCATTGACCTTGCTCTTGCTTGTTGCAGATAAGGAATCAAAGGTGCAATTTGTCTTTATTTTTGCATGATGAATAAATTTTTTCCATTACTTTGATACGCATTGATTACTTCATGGTATTTGTAGTATGGATGGCTCTTGCTTCCAGTGATTTTTCAAAGAGCTTAAAGCCTTTTTGTATGGGTTCAGTATTTCAGCCAAGTCATTTTTGTTATACAGTTGGCCTGTAAACCAATGATATGCCCAGCCATATGATATGAATTGACATACTCTCTGCAGAACTTTCATTGTTAAAGGACTTAAAATGAAGGCGAGGATCTTTAGTATAGCTCTGAAGTTCCACCTCGCATTGCTGATATTGGGTATTTTCTGAAATCTAATCAATGGATAATATCCCTTTTTATCAAAAAATTGGAACAATCAAGTGAGATGAAACACAAATTTCAACTCATCTCTCCAGCATGATGTTTCAAGAATTACTTCTGTTCCATTATCAAACTGTGTTTTCAGTTGTTCGTACTCCTTCAACAGGTGAGATACATGGATATTTGACGTTTGGTGATTGCATTTTACTTTCAAGTTCTTCATCCATCACCAAACGGAGGATTCTATTTAATACATGGTGTTGACAACTGATGAACTGAGGTTTGTTGATGCATTTCTCTGTGACCATTCGTTGCAATTTTTAAACAACACCATTCTTTTTTCCAGTGTTAACGCTGATGGTATCTGCAACAATCATCTGTATTGAATTTTGTATTGAAGGTGAAATTCATCAAGAACTTTAGAAATTCCTTGAGCAATAGTTAAAGCCCTGCCATCTACTGAGCCAAGAACATCCAATTTGATTTCTCTTCTTTCATTTTTAAGGATGACCACCTGATAATTCATTCTGTCAATGTGCTTGCCATCAAAGTGTAAGGACCAACTTTCTATATGCAACTTTTCAATCATTTCTTCCTTCAGCTTGATTTCCTTTTTGATTGTTGACTATTATATTGTTTAAAATTATAAAATAGAGTAATAAAATGATTTTTAAAACACTATCAAAATTATTTATAAACTTATAAATTTATAAAAAAAAAATTCAGAAGAATAAAAGTATAAAAAAAGTTCCAGATATTTTTTCTTTTTTTTATTTATTTTGTTTGTTTTTCTTTTTTTTTTCTTTGTTTGATTAGAAAACTTTCAACTCAGTTACAAAAGGAACAAAAAGATACTAAAGCAGCAAGCAAAAGACTTAAAGTTACACAGTTAGATGAAGAAAGGTTATGCATGTGCATTTCATATACGGTACATTTATAAATGATTTATTTTTGAAAATCATAAATTTTTAAACTTGAAATTCTTAAAGACCTGCAATTATTTTTAATATTTAAGGGCTATGGCCTATTAAGGGATTTGGAAAGTATCTACGTAATAATGGCGTCCAAGATAGCATTTTTTAAGTATCCAGCCAGATAAATTATTTTTCATTTTAATTGATATTTTAATAAGTAAAATATTTTATATCATCACCACTGTAACTATTTTAAAACATCACTACTCCAAGTATTTTTAATTAAATGATTCCTATGAATCCACAGCAGTTTGCAAAAAGCAGATGAGTTTATAATTTGTATAATTTTTGTCAATAATTATTTTTCAAAACTCCACTGCACAATCATGCAAAAATTTTTTTATTTAAATTGTATGAAGAGAAAAGCAAAACGTTTTGAACCTTTAACTTTTTAAACTCCACAGAAATGCCCACAAAGTATTGTGCTAATTATAAAAAATCTATGAAATGAAAAAGTAAATGTCTATCCAAAATAATATTCCATCAATAAATAAAGGGATATTAATAATAAAAGTTCAAGCAAATTATGAAATAGCTATGATGGTTGCTTTAGGTAACCAACCATTTAGAATCACTGAAGATGATGGATTTATTGGTTTAATGGCTCATTTACAGATTAGTTATGTAATTCCAAGCAGACATTTTTTTTTCAGAAAAAGTACTTCCTCAATTGTATGATGACATAAAGAAAAAAGTTTGTAATGAAGTTACAAATCACAGTACATAAGTGTTACTTCAGTTATTTGGACTTATCTCTTGCCTAATGAAACATTTATTTCTTTATCAGGACATTAGATAAAAAAAATTTATAGTAAAAAGATACTGTACTATATGCTTTACGTTTTTTCAGAATCTCACACAGAAATAAATATAGCTGGGAAACTCGTCAATATGTTAGCAAGATGGGGGAATTAATGCACCAAAAAGACATTTTTTAGTTAAAAAAGGTACTGCCAATATGTCTCCAGGCAGTAAACTTATTCAAGTAACATCAGTCCATTTAACAATTCATTTATTGCAGCTTGTAATTAAGGATGCAGTTTTATCCCAATATTAATAATAGATTTGTTAGCTTAATCACATAGAATAGTTAGTAGTAGCCAATTTAATCATTTATCAAAGGCATGTAAAGAATTTTTGTAATTGCAACAACAACACACTGAAACACTTTTACTTTTAGTGCAAGATGTTCCCACTCATTGGAGTAATACATGCCTAATGATCGAGCAACATCAGAAACTTGAAAGAGCAGTTCAAATATATTTAATGAGCTGCCAGCGTTCACATCAAATGATTGGAAATTTTTAAAAAAAAATAATTTATTAAAAGTTGATTAGAAAGATAATGTAACTTTGACACAAAAATCAAGTTTTAGCATTTTTAAATAAAAGGTTCTTTTCTCAAGATAATTTGGATATTACAACTTATAAAAGATAACAATTATTAATCCTCGCTACAAGCTTAAATGTCTTCTTATTGATAAGAAAGAGCAAGCTAGATCAATGCTATAAGAAGATGAAGTGAATATCAAACGAATAAAAATAAAGTTTTACGCAGTTTTTAATATTCCTTCTTTCTCCAATCATTTAACACATTAAACAAAAAAAAAAGAAAGTTGATTTAACAGAGAATGATTATAATTCTTGTCATTTAGAAATTTTAGAACTGAAGAAAATGGAGATAATGTAAATAAATTTATAAATGAGTGATGAAGTCTGTATTTTCTGTGCACAGTTAATTCCTAATTGAACAATATAATTTGAACAATGTTTTATTGAATCCACCTGCATAAAATTATTTTAAAACACTTTTAAGTTTGTGTTCTTGGCTCTCTCATTCTTTTAATTAGCAAATGGTTTTAATTAGCAGATGGTTTGATCAGGTCTAAACTGATCATCTTTAAGGCTACAGAAATAGTTAAAACAAGTTTTTTTTTTTTATTTTCGATAAAAATGAAATCCAACATAACCAACCAGATTATTTTATTATCCGGCTGGATACTGAATAATATATATTTCTTATTCAGGACACTCCGACTATATATAAAGGGGCTCTATATATGTATATATGTATGTATGTATATATGTATGTATGTATGTATGTATGTATGTATGTATGTATGTATGTATGTATGTATGTATGTATGTATGTATGTATGTATGTATGTATGTATCTATACATACATATATATATATATATATATATATATATATATATATATATATATATATATATATATATATATATATATATATATACATGTATATATAAATACATACATACATATGTATGTATGTATATATGTATGTATGTATGTATGTATGTATGTATGTATGTATGTATGTATGTATGTATGTATGTATGTATGTATGTATGTATGTATGTATGTATGTATGTATGTATGTATGTATGTATTTATATATATATATATATGTGTATATAAATATATATATATATATATATATATATATATATATATATATATATATATATATATATATATATATATGTATATATATATATATATATATGCTTGTATATATCAGTGAAGAACCCAGACGTGTTTTAGTGCCGTTTTACTGGTGCTAAAACATGCCTGGGTTCTTCACTGATATATATGAGCGCCAAAAAAAAAGCGCCCAAAAAATGTACAACTAGTTATTATTCTTTTTTATTATAAAAAATATGAGTCGTTATAAAACTTTATATAACGTTATATACGTAGTTTATAACAAATATTCTTTTTATTTGAGCTAGTTATTTTTTTTTTCAGAAAAATTCGAAAATAGTTTTATCATTGAATTTTTCTGAATTACATGTCGTTACTAGTTTAAAACTACACATTGCTTACTAATCGAGCGTTCGTTTAAAAAAAATGAATTAAAACATCTTTCAAAACAACATCAAGAACTTAACGGAATGTTTTAAAAATTTAACGACTTGAAAAAATTCATTCAAAAAATTTTTAAATTCTAATTTAGTAGAAGTAAAATAGTTGTGAAATTCTTTTGTGAAATATTTTATTATATTTAAATGTTTTATACATTTGAAAAATATTTTAAGTTTGAATGGACTAAAAGATATATCTTTATAATTCAAACAAACTCATTTAAAGAAACGTTTTTTTGACTTACATTGTTACATTGTTACATTTTTATTTGTTTGCAATTTATATTTATACATTAACAATCGTATAAGTTTAAACAACTTAATAAAGTAAACATGGGGCATAATAAATCAACTGGCAGAAATCATAATATGTTAGGATCGACATATAAATCAAAAAGAATTTTTCCGCAAAATAATCGACGTCAACAGTCAACGCTTTACACAATTTTTAAAAATGCTAAAAATGAAGCAAATGAACTAAAAACCAAAAGTAAAGTAAAAAAAAAATCAACTGAAATGATAGATGATAAATCTAGAAAACTCTAATAATATTTAAATGTAAATTTTGATCAATGTTGCGGAAACATTCAAGAACCTTCTAAAGACTTCTGGAATATGAGCGAACTTGGTTGGACTTAGAGCAACCAAGCAAAATGGGAAACCAAATTTGGATTTGCTGTGTAATCAGCAGCAAAAGCAAGGTTGGTTGTAGAAAACCTGTTTGGAATATAGTGGAGGATGTAAGTATTAAGTAAAAGAAGCTGTGAAATTATATGAACATCCAACCAGAATGTTTGAGAGACATAAACAGTCTAAAAAACACATTGACTAAACTGCCAAACGAAAAGAAATGAAAAAAATGCTAGTAAAAGGAACAATATATAAGCAGATGGTTCATGATGAGAGATGTTAAACTATTGATGCAAAAGCAAGAAATAGGAGGGTAATAAAGAAGTTTATGAAAACGGCATACTATTTTGCAAAAAAGAAATTGGCTGTGGCAGAGAATTTTTCGGATACAATGGAATTCTTAAGAGATTTGCCTGACGCAGATATTAAGACATGCCACATAGTATGCCACATACTATTAAAAAAAAATAGCAGATACATTTATGAAGTGTTTTAGCAAATATTTGTAAGATGTATTTAAAGTTTATTTTCTGCTTCAGATGTCAGTTTAGTGGCAGATGAAACAATTGACATTTCTGACCATGCCGAACTTTCAATATTTGTTTGCTATTTAAACTCCTACAATCACAATGTTATAGAAGAATTCTTAGGTTTGGTAGAGATAATTGGTTGCAAAGAATCTGAGGCATTGTTTGAACTAATATGCAGTGTTTTAGCAACTAAAGGGATTGATATTAAACAAATGAGGTTTAACAGAATGGATGGAACGAACAACATGAGCGGAAAATACACAGGGCTGCAGAGGAGATTTAGACTCATAGTTCCACATACCAAGTATGTTATCTGCCGGATTGTTGATTATTATTGACTATTAATTTCTTCTCTAGGCTTTTTTTTAAACATTATAGCGTAGTAATACGCTTAAAAAGGTAATAGTTTTTTTAAATTAGCTTTTGAATGAATGAATTTTCAACAATGCATATTTTACAAAAAAAATATAAATTGAAAACAGTGTATAAAATTTTTTTTTTAAATTAACTATGTTTTTTTATTAATTACATTTAACTTCAATATCTCTTTTATAAAAAAAACATATTAATGTAAATAAAATGTCATGTATTTACATACGTATTGTATATACATACGTATTGTATATACATACATTGTATATACATACGTATTGTATATACATTACATATGTATTGTATATGCAACGTAAGTACTTATTTTTATCAATTTAACTATTCTTAAATAAAAAAGTTTTCTTAACATTACTTATAAAGCAGCCAATGGCAAAATTTGTATGTAAATAACTAATAAAAATATAATAATATACCAATTTCATAGCTTCGGAAAAATACTAATTTAAGTGAAACTTTAAAAACAGCAATGGCAGCGGTGCACAGTGAGTCAAAATCCATAAAAAAAGGCAAAAAAAACCCCGTAAAAAACTCTTGCTAGAAAATAAATAATTAAGTTATAATGTAACTAAATACCACTAAAAGACAATAATTGATTTTTTTGTGATTAATTTTTAAGATTTCACCAATTTATACACCTTTTTGGAAGACTTAATTTTTTTCATTTTATTTCTCTGAAAACTTTTTCACAAAAGTCTTGCTTTAGCGTCACTCTTTTAAGATTGATATGGGTAAAAAAAGTTCAAAATTTAATTTGAAGTCATATGTTTAAGTTGTTTAGTAACTATTAATAACATTTTTGACAATAAATTTTAATTTTTGATTTTCATTACTGAGATCTTAAAAATGTGTCATAAATTGATTTTTTAAAATTAGTTTAATTATGAATTTAGTTCAAAAACCAATAGATTCCACTAAATTCCATGGTAGTTTTAACATTTTTCCATTGATGGGTGTATATGAAAGCAGAAAAAATAAAAATCACTTGCCCCAACTTGCCCCAATTGTAATAAGACCTTTTAATTGTATTTTTTTATATGTTTTTTTCCCTTTTTAATTAAAACTTGTGTATAAAGTAGTGAACAATATTTCATTGCTTACATTCATCACAAAAGTAATATGTTTAGTTCCTATTAGTAAAAATACTTAAGCAGATGGTGCTAATTATCAAACCTCGAAAATCGAAATATGCAAGAGTTGACTGCATATTGCATGTTTTAAAACGGAATAATTGATTTGAAATGAATATGAAAATTTAAAAGTGAAAATGAATAGACTAGTCAAGTTTGTGGTAAAGTTAGAAGTAGAGGAAGGCAAACTAGATACGACTATCACATTTAAGATCAAACTAGATTTAACCACATTTGATGGTAAAATGGTTAATGCCCTCACTAACACTCTGTCCTCCCAATCATATTATGTTTGCTGAGCTAAGCCCAGCAAACATAATATAATTTACTCTGCCTTGCTGGCTCAGATCTTTTAAATATTATTAAATTATAAAAGTACATTTGGGATATAAGTTGAACATTATAAAAGTACTTTGCCAAATACCCTGCTGAAAAAGCATTAGTAAAAAAAAGAAAAAAGTACTTCAACTGAGGCTTAGAGAGAAGTTAAGTCTTGAAGTTGATATGCCCAATCATGTTTTGGCAACACTAACGATGGGAACACTGCCAGAAGGGCATTTGAAAATGCTGGAATTTTTACTGATATAACAGTAGATGTAGTTATTAGATTGAGGACAATTCTAGTATCAGTATACTCCTGTTATTAGTTGAGCTCTTAAAGTTTTGGCCAGTATTGCTATGAAACTACAGCCCTTATACTCAAAAACTATTGCTGGTATTTGACTCCCCTAACTGTTCATAAACTCTTAGAACATGGTGTGCAGATATCTGAGGCATTAGAACTGTAAATTGGTTACTACTCTGAAGAGTCACTAAAGGTTCTAAATAAGTAAATTTGCAAAGCTATATTGAAATATACAGATATCTAGAAAGAATGTTGAGGTATTGGTACTGGTTTTTCAAAGAATGAAAAACCAGTACCAATACCTCTTGATAAGAAGTGATACTGTAATATCAAATATTTTTTAAAAAAATACAAGTTAAAAAATGGAAAAACCAATAACCCTTAGATTTTACCTTTGATAATACAGTAATAATGAGTAATAATGCTTTTTAATTAATACAAGGTTTTTTTTTTGTTTTCTCAAAAGAAACATTAGATAAGATAAATATTTATTTTGTATTCAATATATTTTGATATTTTTATAATATTTAGCTGTATTTTGATTTTTTGAATCCAATTTTTCTTTTTAATCAGTAAATGTTTTGGTTTGAAAAATATAATCTTTTTAAATTAAGTCATTCTTTGTGCGCATAAGAGACTCTAACATGTATACACATGTGTAGAACAAGCCTTAGACACAACTAAAATTTAAATTTAAAAATATGTGGTATTTTGGATTAAGGAATCTGATTTTATTATTTATTTTTTTTTGCCCGTATCAATGACACTTACACTCGTAAGTGCGTGCGTTGTACGTCTCATAGGTAGGTGTAAAAATTATTTTTAATAGTAATTTTAAACTTTTTGACCAAAAATATGATTGTATTGATGTATCACATATATATATATGATAGTTATAATTTTTGCAGTTTTTTTACCTTTCTGACTCACTGTGCGGTAAAGGCATGAAGGTAGGGTTAAAAGAACAGATATTGTTTTCCTTTTATATTGCTTTTTTATATTATGTTTGTACATTATTTTATAATGGATAAATATAATATAAAATTTTTTTCAACAACCCTTAGTTGCCACGATCTATAAAAACCATGTACAGTGGTACAAAACTGAACCAGAATGCATAATATTTTTATTTTCTTATAAAGAATTTAGCATTTTGAGAATTAATATTGCTGGTTGGAATTATTATTAAAAAAAAAATTTTTATTAAGTATTTATTGAAGAAAAATATTTACTTACAACAGGCTTTCACAGGAAGACGTGTGATTTCACGTCTTTATATGACGACGCAAAAAAAAAAGGTTTTTATGATTTGACCACGGCATATTTTTAAAATTTAAAAATGCGCTACAAAAAAATTACCTAAACTTATCTGAAAAAAAAATTTAAAAAAATAATAAATATTAAGAGAAAATTAAAAAATACTTAGTTAAAGCAAAAACACAAAAAAATAAATAAATATATATAATGCAACTAAAACAAAACTCATCAAACTAAAATGCTTAGTCTATTTAATTTACTCATTAAAAAACCTTTTCAAACTTTGTTTTGATCATTTTTATATATTTTTTACTTATTTAATATGTTCAAAAGTTAAATATTTCTCATAAAAAATACATAGTTATATCAATAAAATAAAAAAATATTTTATTAATACTTTTTTTTAAATTCATTAGAAGTGTTTTTATTTTACTTCATTAAAAGTTCATAAAAAGTTTCGATAATATAAAAGCATTTAAAATCAAACTTATTAAATTGTAACAGTTTTATAAAACTTTTTTTTAATGAAATTTTGTTTATCTTTGTAAATGCATTAACTTTAATCATTCTTATATTTAAATTCGTTAAAGAGACTTTCGTAGTCGTAGAATGTCATCGTTTAAAAACAAAACAATTTTTTATTTTTTAATAAGATTTATTTTAGAAATGAACACTTAAACAATTTATGTTTTAAATTAAAAAAAAATATATACAACTGTAATTATATTTAAAAAACAAAACTTTTTTTCAGTCAATTGTTACTTTATTTAAAATCCTTTCGTTAATATAAAAACATTTGTTAAAAAGTTTTGATGTAATTTTCACTTTTTTAGAATATTTTTTATTTAGCGCATTTCTAAAATGTTTTTTGAATTAGCCGCGGTCAAACCGTCATAGCAAAATGTAACTTGCGTGATCATATAAAGACATGAAATCGCACGTCTTCCTGTGAAAGCCTGTTACAAAATAATAAATGAAAAACATTGTGAGTCACTTTTGCACCACGCAAAAAAAACTGTCAATTTTTGTCAATTTTGTCAATTTTTAGTATTTGTCCATAATCCTTTAGCTTTTTTAACTGCTGCTAATCTTCTATTTATGCTCTTTACAAGATTTTTGCAAAGTTTTAATGAAATATTTTCCCACTGTTCTTGAACTTGTTCATATAACTCATTAATGGATAATGGAGGGTCAGAATAGTTATTAACTAGCGTTTTTTTAATTGTGACCACAAATTTTCTATTGAGTTCAAATCAGGACTTTGTGCTGGCCATTCTAGAAAGCTTTGGGTTATTGTTCTGTTGAAAGATGACCTCATTTATTGGGTAAGGCATATTTTCATCAGTTTCCAATAATTTGTGCTGTAAAATATCAAGATACATTTCCTTATTCATGTTTCTAACTATTCTTCGAATTGGTCCCAATCCATAAGCCATCATACACCTCCATAGTTTAATATTGCCCCCCCCCATGTTTTACTGTCTGACTAAAATCTTTTTGGTTAATGGTTCTCTTTTCCATCTTTTCCAGCTCAATTGGTGGCCATTAGTGGTATACCAATTAATTTTAGTTTCATCTGACCAAATAACTTTCTTCTAATCATCTTCGGTAAAGTTTTCATATTTTTTTACAAAGTTTAATCTTGCTTTGATATTTTTTTTACTAAGTAATGGGTTTTTATTCTTTTCAATTACTTGAAATTTACTTTTTATGAGATCTCGCTGCACTGTCCACCTGCTCACATTTTTTCCTTTATCACGTTGCAAAAATTTAGTTGCATGAGATGTCAATTTTGCTTCTCCAGTAGTCAAATATCTGATTAAAACAATAAAATTTATAAAAATAGAAAATTATTTTAGATATAAATATAGTCAGTTGATTTGCACACAGAATTATTAAATTAATTTGATAAAAATAATAAAGATATTGCCTTCATCAAGTATGGTGCAAAACTGAGTAAAAAGATGTTTGTCACTAGATAAAAATACTTGTGCAATGAGGTAAAAGGAGGAGGCGTAAAAAGTCGTAAAAATTAGCACTTTACTACTGTAATAATCCTGTCAGTGCTAATATATCGAAAACAAAATAAACCATAATTTTTTTTTTTTTAAAACTCTGGTTCAGTTTTGCACCATACTGTATATTATTATTTTGATGTCTAATGTTTTTGTGTATATAATTGTTACATTTATTTTTTTATATTTGTTTCCATTTACTATTTGTAAAAAAAAATAAATTGTAACTTTGTGTTTCAGAGTTGGGTAATTGATGAAGCAAATGAGATAAGAGATAGTTTGATAGATAACGAACATATAGGCTCAAAATACCGCACTGTTAAATCTTTTATTTCCCAGTACAAAAAACTCATGAATGAGGTTTGTATATATGTATTTTTTCTGTTCTTTTATATAAATATAATTCATAATTTTTTATTTGTATATATGATGGTGGTGACTAGTGTTGCAAAAAAATGCGTTTTTTTTCTGTCGCGTTTTTTTCACCCAAAAAAACGTGTTTTTTTGTTTTTTTTGGCGTTTTTTTGGTTTGGGTGTAGGTTTTTTTGGCGTATTTTTTTACTCTCTTGGTATATTTGTTTACTAATTTTATGTAAACAGAGTGTTTAGCCAAAGTGGTATAAAAATATTTATCTTTTTGATTAGGAAAATAGCTAAACAGTTATTTATTTTTTATAAAAATTTCAAGATTTTTACCTCAAAAAAATTATTTACTTTCCTTATATTAAACATGAAAATGATTACCTTTTTTTATTTTGCAAAGCAGTATTTCATATAATAAATATATTTCTTTCATATAATAAAAATACTTATTTAGATAATTCTGATTTATTCCATTAAATAATACATTTATTATTATTCAAAAAAAAATTATGGATTAATGAAAAATTTAATGAACATAAGTTGAAGAAGTTAAAAAAGTTGAAAAATAATTTTGTAATTTTAAAACCAGTGACAGATCCAGGGGAAATGAGAGGTATGAACCTACCACCCCGCACCAGAATCCATAAATTTATAAAATATCTTTAAATTTTTAAAATTTTTTTTAGTAGGCAAAAATGTGATACAAAATAAACTAAATTTTTAACAAGCCCTGATTCCCCCTCACACCCACACCAAAAATTTCCGGATCTGACTTATTTTGCGATGCAGTGTTACTTCATTCATACAATAAATTCTTAAAACAGTTCAATATAAAAAAAGATACAATTCATGGCCTTTACTTATAAAAATTTACTTCTTTGTCTTTACTTATAAGAATTATTATTAAAAATTATTAAAAAAAATAAAAATCGTTTTTCTAATTAATGCTGCTTTTTCAAATTTTTTTTTTTTTTTTTGATTAATTGAACAATTGCTAAACTAAGACAATACTAAAAATATGGTAAATGGAAGTATTAAAACAAGTATTTAATAAATATCACCAAAAATAAATTTTAAAACCATTTCAGTGTTTTAAAATTTCAAACCAAAAAACAAAGTCCTCGTTTTTTTTGGCCAAAAAAACGTTTTTTTTGGCAAAAAAACAAGAACCAAAAAAACGACTTACATCTCTAGTGGTGACAATGATGATGCTGATGATGATAACTCTTTATTTTTAAATTGGACATATACATCTTTTATTCATCATTCTTTACAAGCCTCAACAAGCGTTTCCAGACATCATCATTTGGTTACTTTCTGGCAGCAAACAAATTTGTTACACTCGAATTCCAGCACATAAATTGGTGTATTCCCCAGTTGAATATAAAAGTGGCATAGATTCTGGCGAAGTCCAAACTTATATGATGTATGTAAGTAAGTTTGTTATTTTATTATATATACTTATATATTATCATTTATTGTATATATTATATTTGAAATTATACTCTACATTTATATTCAATATTTGCACTACTTATATTTTAAATATCTCAATTTGAATCTATATATATATATATATATATATATATATATATATATATATATATATATATATATATATATATATATATATATATATATATATATATATACACAGTGAAAAAGCTAGAGTTTATTTGGGGATACCGCTTTTTTTGTGGTAACGTTGGAATGGGGGGTGCTGATGATGGTTTTGAGGTTCCTCAACTCCTTCTCTATCTTCCCTAGTTAAAACCGGTACCACGACAATGATTTTTAGTCATCATTTCTTCAATAATTATTTTAATCATTTGTGTTTATCTTGTTTAATTTTATCCTAAGATGAGGAATTGAAAAGTCACACGCTGCATGTTTTTATTATTATAACGTTTTGTATAACGACTGCTAATTGTTGACAAGAGTCACAAGTTGAATTTTTAAATATTATATATAGTGAACAAATTTATTGTAAAAATGTTGAGATTGTTGATAAGTGATAAAAAAATTAAAAACAAAATGACTTCTAAATGCGTTGAACAACAAGCTAACTGGGCGTGTCTATTATCTCTGCAATATGAAGATGGACAGCCAAAGCGATTTATTTGGCAGTTGACTTCTTTTTTTGTGATGAACGATATTACTTCCAATCGACACGTAGCGTAATTTACAAGACCATGTAGGAATTAACAGCACCTGAACTACCTGAGGATGTTTCGTATGAAGAGTTGGTGATGAAACTGGAAACTTTGAAAATTAGAAAATCATTGTTAATCTCACGGTATGAATATGGGAAAACTTATCGTGGTGATGAAGAATCAATACAAATATTTGCACATTGAGTAATCAGAGCAGCTCAAGAATGCAAGTTTATGCCTTCAGAAAGAGATGGCCGACTTTGAGATTAATTTGTCATTGGGATAAATGATTGTGCTGTTCTGCGTGCCATCTTCGGGGAGAAGATGCGTTAAGCTTTAACAATTGTGTCAAAACGGCATCCGTGATTGTACAAACTAGATAAGATGGGGCATGTTTATCTGTTAACGAAGAAGTAAATATCAGTTACCAAACAACTGGGACTGTAATGTCAAATGATATACGAAGGAAGTAAGAAATATGATGTTTCAACTGCCAATCATTGAATCACTTTGCATGTGAGTGTACCTCCTTATGGAAGAAATGCTTGCATAAACATGCTGCGAAGGACTGCTACAAACGTTTGGGTTTTGGTTTGAACCTAGCACCTGTGATGATGAGCTCAATACTATGATATGTTCTCCAACAAAATTCTGCACTTGCAAAATCAACAAGAGGATACATTGATGACACCTTAGCAACCAATGGAAATGGAAGAAAGCTGGTGGCACATATGAAGAATGGGGTCTTCATGCGAAAACACCTGAATATTTTGGCAAAAACCTAGTTCCTCCTCTAGAATTGGAAGTAACAGTAAATCCATCTACAAAGGAATTATTTTAGAAGAGAGGACGCGAAATTCCTATTATTAAAAAATGTACTCACTAAGAGGAAGATATTCTCATTATGTGGTAATCTGGTTGCTAATTTACCACTTGCTGGATGGTTGCGACTTGCATGCAGCTTTATAAAGAGATGTACAAATGAAGCAGGTTTGGATGAACCTATTACAAATAAGTGCATAAATGAAATGATGTAGGAAGTCGTGGATAAAGTTATCAAATGCGATCCAGCAAAAGGCGTTTAGAATGTCAAACCAAATGCATCTGTATGGTGTGATGCAAGTTCGCTGGCAAAAGGAGTTGTAATAATGCAAGGTGACAAAAAAATAGAAGATGCAACTTGGCTTCGACCAAAGTCTGATGCAATGCATATCAAAATGGTTGAATTGGATACATGTATTGAAGGTCTCAATATGGCATTGAAATGGAACTCAAGTGATGTCTCTATCAAAACTGATTCTTATAGTGTATTTAGTTGGTTAAGTTCTGAATTGAATCGTGACAAACCTGTAAAATGTGCTGGGCAATGTGAAATGCTAATCCGACAAAGGCTTCAAATATTTAAAAAATTGGTTGAGGATTATGCCATAAGTGTAAATGTTACATGGGTACCAACAACAAAAAATATCGCAGATGAACTGACACGAGTGCCAAGAAAATGGATAAAAAAACAATGTTGCGGCGCAAGAATGTAATATCATCTATAAGCACGATCATCAGCAGATTAAAAAAGTTCACTCTATAGCACACATGGGAGTTTCCAAGACTATGAAGTTATGCTCGCGTGCTGGTATCCACGTTAGGAGAGATACAGTGAAACAAATTGTAGCTGAATGTGATAAATGCAATTCAATTGATCCTAATGTGATTTCGTGGGATAAAGGAAATCTTGCTGTCAGCAAAATGTGGGAAAGAGTAGCCTGCGTTGTTACTCACTTTGATTCATTGCTGTATCTTACCTGTATTGATTGTGGTCCAAGCAGACACACGTTGTGGACACCATTAAGCAACAAAAGTGCAAAAATGGTTGTTTAATTGTTAGAAACAATATGGTCATTGCTTGGACCTCCTTCCAAAATTTTCCTAGATAATTCTAAGTCGTTTAGATCTCAGGCTATGCAAGCTATGGCATTGAAGTGGGAAATAAGAATTGTTTATCAAGCTGTTGAAAAACCATCGGGAAATAGAATTGTTGAAAGAGTTCATCGGACAGTAAAAAGAACAAATGCAGGAGCGAAATGTGGAATACCCATATCTGTCTTCTTAATCAACAACCTACCATCAAAACATGGCACACCATTTGAAATCTTTTGCCAACAATACAAATGCGTCGAATCAACACAAAAGTCTCTAAATAAGTGTCAAGGATGGAAAGTTGGCAATAAAGTATGGGTCAAGCCTAAGCATATGACGCCGTGTACACAGCAATGGTTAAAAGGAAGTATAGTAGCACTGCATAATGGTTTAACAGCTGACATTGAAGTCAACAGACATATGTTGCCACAGCATTTTTCACATCTGCTGCATCGTTGTGTAGATAAAAATGAAGAAGATATAACAATTGATGACGATTACAATCCAACACTGGTTAAACCTCCCAAAATGAACTTAAAACACATCACAATCGAAGATCCAAGTTCTCAGATAAATTCCCTGTATGACAGCGAAGATGACAATAATATGCACCGCACTGATCAAAACTACCCAACAAATTGTGAGACAGAGTTACAGCCTGTTTGGTTTATTCGCTATAGGAGAAGAGTACTTCCTAACCGAAAGTATTACGATTATGTATGAGCTCTTGTTGAGCTGGGGGAGATGTTGTGATTTTAATGTGTGTCAATAATTTGTCAATAAATAGCTTTGCTAATTATTGACAAAAGTCACATGTTGCATATTTTTATTATTATAACGTTTTGTATAACGACCACTATTTGTTGGCTAGAGTCACAAGTTAAATTTTTAAATATTATATATAGTGAACAAATTTGTTGTAAAAACGTTGAGATTGTTGATAAGTAATAAAAACATTAAAAACAAAATGGCTTCTAAATGCTTTGAACAACACTAGTAAATAATTTTTAAAACTTATTTGAAATATTTTAAACATTTACTATATTTTAGTAAATTTAATTTTATTAGTTATTAATGTTTTGAATAAATAGCAATTAAATGTTTAAATACTTTGAACAATTTATAATCAATATTTACTTTACATAATATATTTACATTTATTAAATTGTGTAATAATTGTAAAATTAACAAAATAGTTTTATGTCTAGTATTCGAATAAGTATTCAAATAAAAAACATAAACATTTAATAAACACATTTACTATTATTTTAATTTTAAAATTTTGATTTAAATATTAGCAAATCTGTTCATTTAACTTTTACTAAAAGTTAACAATTTTCAAAGTGATTTTAAGGCACATTTTAAATTAAAGATAACTAAAGAAGAGATAATTACGGTAAACTTTTAAATTAAAATAAACTTTTAAATTAAAGATAACTATAGAAGAGATTCTTGTTCTACAACATTTTTTATTAAAACTAATGCTGTAAATTATAACAGTAAATAAAAATGTTTTAAGCCCTCGTTAAACAAATTATTATAAAATAATATAAGTAGACATGAGAAACTTTGTTAAAAAATAGCAAATACAAAATAATATACAAATGTATAACTTTGTATTAAGGTAACCACTTTAATTATTTAGCACAATTCAGGCAGACGTGGTTAAAACTTCAAGAAAAAAATCAGAAACATTTTTGCAAAAGTTTATATATATAATAAAAATTTTACCAGATGCGCAATATGAAGCAAGCTTATGGAGAAGATCAGCATGGCAAATTTTTTGAAAAGCTTTAGATATGTCAAGATCAATAGCCCTTACTTTGCTGCCTCCATCTTTCATCCTCCTAATGCATAATAGAGTCTTTCAATTACAACAAATAACAAGTCAGTTGTAGAACAAAAATAGACGGTAAACATAATCTTAAAAATGTTATATTTTTTTGATTAAAAAACATATATTTATTTTAAAAAATATATTATATTTTTTTCATCATTAAGTATAATTTAAAAAATTATGTTTAATAAATAAGTTACATTTAAACAGATCTGAATTAAACTTCTATTAAGTTATTGCAATCGTTGTTTTTATTACTTTAAAAGTCTGAAAGAATATGGAAAAGAGACAAAACGTTTTGAAAAAGTTTTTGTTTCATTTTTTCATTTTCCTCATGTAAACTAAAATAGCAAGCTAAAGATCAAAAGTTTTGAAAAATTAAATTTGTGTGATATGTATTAAGACTAAAGTTTTTTACTTTTGTTCATTTATTATCAAAAACAGTTTACTCTTAATTGTCAAAAAACAATAACTTTACTCTGAATGGATATTTTGAAATCGTTCTTTCTTTCAAGAAAGCAAATTTTTATACATTCCATTGTTATAAAATTTTGCAGCAAGTTTTTAATAATAAGTTTTGTAAAGACATTCATTTTTTAAAAATGAACATTCAGTTAGTAACCAAAGGACATTTATGTCATATAATTACGTATTATCCTGAAAAAAAAATGAAGTAGCTAAAATAAA